CATGATTTTCTTTTAGTATAGACACTGTTTAAATGTATAAGTCCACTATTACATGCCGTGGCAACCTATAATTAAGGCAGCACTTAGATTAAGTTTAAATACGTTGTAAATATTGATTGTCTTCTAGTGTAGTATGTCTTGTTGGTTGTGCCCTTTACCTCAACTGGGCATCCGCAGAATACCAGTGGTCGTGACGCGCTCTTTGCAGTCACGGCGTATACTGAGCTGATGCCATTTTGGTGCTTGTACCCGTTCTGTTGTCTAGTTTTAGTTATTATCTTGCTGTGTATAGTCTGGTCCGTGAGCACGTAGAATTTTGTCCAATGACCCCTAGCTACCCATCCTTATCGCTCGCGCGTAATTATGTTGCTATCGCGCTCGCACACTCACTGCGGGTGACAGTCGCACAGTCGCGACAGCAATATAATTACGCGCGGGAGATAAGGATGGGTAGCTAGGGGTCATTGGACAAAATTCTACGTGCTCACGGACCGGACTTTACCTACTTGCATCGAATAAAATATTTTCTTTCTTTCTTTCTATTAAATAAATAAAAATATTTTTTGTTGAATTTTCAGATGGCGCTGACGTGCGACTGCCCGATGTCGCAGCCGGGCCCGACGCTGGCGGCCACGTGCGGCGGCGGCGCCTTCATGCTGTTCATGGGGCTGCTGGAGGTGTTCCTGCGCTCGCAGTGCGACCTCGAGGACCCGTGCGGCCGCGCTCAGGTACCACTGCCGGTGACGTCACGCCGTGCCGCCGCCGGCCGCGCTGGCGCCACGTGCGGCGGCGGCGCCTTCATGCTGTTCATGGGGCTGCTGGAGGTGTTCCTGCGCTCGCAGTGCGACCTCGAGGACCCGTGCGGCCGCGCTCAGGTACCACTGCCGGTGACGTCACGCCGTGCCGCCGCCGGCCGCGCTGGCGCCACGTGCGGCGGCGGCGCCTTCATGCTGTTCATGGGGCTGCTGGAGGTGTTCCTGCGCTCGCAGTGCGACCTCGAGGACCCGTGCGGCCGCGCTCAGGTACCACTGCCGGTGACGTCACGCCGTGCCGCCGCCGGCCGCGCTGGCGCCACGTGCGGCGGCGGCGCCTTCATGCTGTTCATGGGGCTGCTGGAGGTGTTCCTGCGCTCGCAGTGCGACCTCGAGGACCCGTGCGGCCGCGCTCAGGTACCACTGCCGGTGACGTCACGCCGTGCCGCCGCCGGCCGCGCTGGCGCCACGTGCGGCGGCGGCGCCTTCATGCTGTTCATGGGGCTGCTGGAGGTGTTCCTGCGCTCGCAGTGCGACCTCGAGGACCCGTGCGGCCGCGCTCAGGTACCACTGCCGGTGACGTCACGCCGTGCCGCCGCCGGCCGCGCTGGCGCCACGTGCGGCGGCGGCGCCTTCATGCTGTTCATGGGGCTGCTGGAGGTGTTCCTGCGCTCGCAGTGCGACCTCGAGGACCCGTGCGGCCGCGCTCAGGTACCACTGCCGGTGACGTCACGCCGTGCCGCCGCCGGCCGCGCTGGCGCCACGTGCGGCGGCGGCGCCTTCATGCTGTTCATGGGGCTGCTGGAGGTGTTCCTGCGCTCGCAGTGCGACCTCGAGGACCCGTGCGGCCGCGCTCAGGTACCACTGCCGGTGACGTCACGCCGTGCCGCCGCCGGCCGCGCTGGCGCCACGTGCGGCGGCGGCGCCTTCATGCTGTTCATGGGGCTGNCGAAATGTTGTGTTCGGGGTTGTGTTGTCGAGATATTTGTTTTTATTCGCAAACGAAATGTTTGAATGAACAACGGCGACAATTTTATTTCGATTCAAATTTATTCCTAACGCTCGATTTATTGTGGGCAAAAGAAGGAGTGTGCTGCCCGCTCGTTGCCCGCTCAAGCACCGCTGCCCGCTCGTTGCCCGCTCCCGCCCCGCTGCCGCGCCGCTGTTTTCGAGAACCGGTCTATTTGATTTTATGCATAAGATCCTGCCGCTCCCGCGTCGCCGCCGCTCCCGCCCCGCTGCCCGCTAAACTCGAGGCTGAGGCCTTATGCTTCAACCACACCAACGCGTGCAGATCGCCATCGCTAGCGCAATCATAGGCTAATGACAGGTCGCGTGACCCATGACTGTCCACGCGACCTGTCATTGGTCTATGATCGCGCTAGCGATGGCGATCAGCACGCGTTGGTATGGTTGAAGCTTTAGTCGCTTCTGACGACATCCACGGAAAGAGTGGGAGTGGTCCTATTCAACTCTGCTGGAACTACACCATCTCATTGGACAAAAACATAATATTCTCCTAATGAGTGTGGGAATGAAATATCTTACGTGCAAATGTTTAAGACGGAAGAGTTCCACTAGGTGCCCCGACGACCTGGTAAAAGTCGCGGGAAGTGCACAACCTGTCGTTGTGGTAATCCATGGAGGAAGTCTTTCTCCAGCAGTGGACGTCGTTTGGCTGGAACGAATGAACGAGCAAATGTTTTTAAGATAGTTATATAGAAAGAAATAGTACATGACAAAAATAGTATGGGTAAAAACTGTGCCTACAGGCCCCCACTTAGCATGCTCGAAAGAACACGTACCGAAGCTGGTCTTCCGCGGACGCCCTTGCTTAAATTAGGTGTATTTATAAAATTATAAAAATTCATCAGACTGATTTTGGATTGTATTTTGTCTTCCGCATCTCCGTGAACAAATAAAACCTTTCAGCACCCACTTTTCGACGCCAAAAAACATCTACACAAAAGAAAAACAGCCGCGTTCCGATTCTGATTGATTGATTGCCTAATAACGCAGAACGTGAAACAAAATGGCGGACTCGTTCCATTTAACTCGAGTAATCACAAATTAAATAAACCCTGACAACGCGCGAATTGTTGCTCTCTTACGAGTACCTACCTGCTCCTTAACCTTTTGTAGGGATGGGACTGTGTATGCTAATATCGATACTCGATGAGCTAAAGAAAAAATACGTTTCTTTCGGAGTGAAGGAAACGTATTTTACATGCTGACAAATCACAATCATTTTCAAGCTGCAGGTCTGCTTGCCAAAAATCTGAAATCAACACAACTAGTCAAGTTTAAGTAACGACAATAAAAGCTAAAATTCGATGATATAAAACGAGGACTATCAAAATCATACTCATGTATTCCACGATCATGCTTAGTTCAATAGCAGCAATAAATATTGTTATTCGTTTCCTTATTTTTCATTTGTCCATTACTGCTTTTTTTCCTTATTGTGTTTGAGCACTTGTAGTTCGTCTTTTTGGTTTTGAATTACTCATACTCACAAGTTTTACCTTCAAAACTACGATTATGTCGAAACTTAGCATTTGCACATGTTCAAACTTCAAAGTATGAAAAAAGTATTAAAATGGGGAATCTGTCGATTATACAATCTCAAGCACAATATTTAACAGCAAAGTAGTAACTGTAGACATACCTCTCACTAGGACCGACGATCTGGCAAAATTCGCGGGAAGTACTTTGACGCGGACTAGGTCGTTGAAAATCTTTGGGGAATGCTTTTTTCCAGCAGTGGACGTCATTTGGCAGAAACAAACGAACTGGCAAGATTCAAAGTAAATATTTTATCGACAACTGGCACCCCTACCACTACTTTCCATTCCATTGTGTAAATTTTCAGCCAACACTTGTCCGTTCGCGTGGAAACGGTTAGTACTTATACAAATTGGATCCTACATATATTTAGTCCCAACAAAAAGTGACAGGCTTTTTGGACAGATAAACGATTATTCGGTTCACGCGTGTAGAAGGTTTTCCAGATGGTAATAAATTCTGTAAGAATGTTAGGTCAACTGTGTTTGGGTTCTTTTAAGTTTTCTGACATGTCGGCGCGTCAGCGGCACGACATCAGCAGTCAGCACGCTCTACATACGCGGTACAGAACGCTTAAACTTAAGAATGCATGGTAAATTCAGTGAACTGCTCCTGAATCGAATGTACCTACTACTACTATTTCTATTTATTTATATTAACCGGCAGACAGTGGTGACTGAGATTGTTGCGGCGCTTCTTCTCAGCACTTGCCAAATGTTGGTCTCGAAGCGCTGGTAGGGTAAAAAGATTATGAGACATGTAGAGGCTCCTTAAGAGCAAAATGACGATTTGTAAGAACTATTTATTAGTCGGCCACGTGCGGCGGCGGCGCCTTCATGCTGTTCATGGGGCTGCTGGAGGTGTTCCTGCGCTCGCAGTGCGACCTCGAGGACCCGTGCGGCCGCGCTCAGGTACCACTGCCGGTGACGTCACGCCGTGCCGCCGCCGGCCGCGCTGGGGCCACGTGCGGCGGCGGCGCCTTCATGCTGTTCATGGGGCTGCTGGAGGTGTTCCTGCGCTCGCAGTGCGACCTCGAGGACCCGTGCGGCCGCGCTCAGGTACCACTGCCGGTGACGTCACGCCGTGCCGCCGCCGGCCGCGCTGGGGCCACGTGCGGCGGCGGCGCCTTCATGCTGTTCATGGGGCTGCTGGAGGTGTTCCTGCGCTCGCAGTGCGACCTCGAGGACCCGTGCGGCCGCGCTCAGGTACCACTGCCGGTGACGTCACGCCGTGCCGCCGCCGGCCGCGCTGGGGCCACGTGCGGCGGCGGCGCCTTCATGCTGTTCATGGGGCTGCTGGAGGTGTTCCTGCGCTCGCAGTGCGACCTCGAGGACCCGTGCGGCCGCGCTCAGGTACCACTGCCGGTGACGTCACGCCGTGCCGCCGCCGGCCGCGCTGGCGCCACGTGCGGCGGCGGCGCCTTCATGCTGTTCATGGGGCTGCTGGAGGTGTTCCTGCGCTCGCAGTGCGACCTCGAGGACCCGTGCGGCCGCGCTCAGGTACCACTGCCGGTGACGTCACGCCGTGCCGCCGCCGGCCGCGCTGGCGCCACGTGCGGCGGCGGCGCCTTCATGCTGTTCATGGGGCTGCTGGAGGTGTTCCTGCGCTCGCAGTGCGACCTCGAGGACCCGTGCGGCCGCGCTCAGGTACCACTGCCGGTGACGTCACGCCGTGCCGCCGCCGGCCGCGCTGGCGCCACGTGCGGCGGCGGCGCCTTCATGCTGTTCATGGGGCTGCTGGAGGTGTTCCTGCGCTCGCAGTGCGACCTCGAGGACCCGTGCGGCCGCGCTCAGGTACCACTGCCGGTGACGTCACGCCGTGCCGCCGCCGGCCGCGCTGGCGCCACGTGCGGCGGCGGCGCCTTCATGCTGTTCATGGGGCTGCTGGAGGTGTTCCTGCGCTCGCAGTGCGACCTCGAGGACCCGTGCGGCCGCGCTCAGGTACCACTGCCGGTGACGTCACGCCGTGCCGCCGCCGGCCGCGCTGGCGCCACGTGCGGCGGCGGCGCCTTCATGCTGTTCATGGGGCTGCTGGAGGTGTTCCTGCGCTCGCAGTGCGACCTCGAGGACCCGTGCGGCCGCGCTCAGGTACCACTGCCGGTGACGTCACGCCGTGCCGCCGCCGGCCGCGCTGGCGCCACGTGCGGCGGCGGCGCCTTCATGCTGTTCATGGGGCTGCTGGAGGTGTTCCGCAGTGATGTCACTGCCGTTGTCACAGCTACCTACTGCCCCGCAATGTGACGTCACTGCCCGCTGTCGCAGCTGCCCCGACGCTGGCGCTGATAGGCCCCTTTAATTGATATTTACTGTCCGTGGTGCATAATCTTTTCGTAAAGGTTTTAAGCCTTTGTTTGTCACCTGTCATCCGCTTTGAAATGGAGGGAAGTTGAACCTAATTTCGAAGTCGTCCTATGTTCTTCTGATTAATTTCGTTGCGGGTCCAATGACAGTTTAACTTTCCCCCGGGACAAACTTGACCTTCATTGGTTGGGTTTTTGGGGTTTATGGCGGTCAAGCTGTAGATCCTGGCTACACAGGAGTTGCAGTGGTGGGAACGAGAGGTGGGAATAGTCCCGTGCCCCGCAATGTGACGTCACTGACGCTGTCGCAGCTACCTACTGCCGCGCAATGTGACGTCACTACCCACTGTCGCAGCCGGCCCGACGCTGACACAGCTGGTGGCCACAGAAATAGATCGTTTTATCCACGAAGACGCGCCCCACCATTCTTCCGCTAATGTTTGAGTGTTATCGGTACACGCTTAATCATCCATGAGTGCACACGCACACTACAATAATGCCGCTCGGATTGCTCGGACCACACTCCCCGCACCCCGCGCGATCGAGCCAAAAATTGTTTGGGCGCGTCTTCAAATCAAATCAAATCAAAATCGTGGATAAAACGATCTATACCTACGAGTACCTACTGCCCGATCGTGTAACTGCGCACCCGGCTGGAATGCGACTCTTCCTCCCAGTTACCCGCACATCTCACTGCGTTCGGCCCGTTCGTACAGCTGCCAGTGTGCCTACCATGAGTTTACGTTAGGTGAGCTCGCTAGCGAATACGTCAAAAAATTCTATGAAGATTTTATTTCTTGAAAGTAGCCACTAGGGGCGCTGCACAATATGTCATACATTTAAATGTCATTTTTTTACGCAGTCGCTAGCGAGCACACCTAACGTAAACTCGTGGTAGGCACACAGGTGCACGTTAACTCGACCGGGTTATATTACCAGCAGCATTTAAAAAGGCACCCGGTTCTATGACGTTAAAAATCATCGAAATGTACAAAACTTACCTTAGGGCTCTTTTGCAGATAAGACACCAACATGTAAAAATACATGAAAACGTTTGAAGCCACGCGGCTTACCGGTGCGCCTCGAATAATAAACCTTATTTAGTAAATTTCGATCTATAAAATTGGATTTACTCGTATGTCATTACGTTGCAGCTACGAAATGCTACGAAACCATTTAGTACAAAAGACATCAACGAGTCAGTAGCTCGATAATTTTAATTACCCTACGTTATTTTGTCTTAAACATATTAAAGGCTTGATTTTTATACATTTAAGGACATTGACAATTATTATGACACTGTTGTGTTGTTTTCTTTTTAGGCATAATTCGATACCATGATTATTTCCATCATGCCCCAACAAATTACACTCGATTGCATGAAAACCGCAATCCTTCTACAAACTGCATAATATCTTCAAAAACTTAGAAACTCAATCGTGATCCATGATTACAGCTTCGTCCCATTCCATTTCAGACCTTATTCTTTTCGAAGTATGATCTATTTTTAATATTTCCAATGTCAAGTATAATTAGGCTAAAATATGAGGTTGACTCTTAAATCAATGTAGAAAGGTTGGGAATGCCTTGCATAAGTAAGATTATAATCTAATAGTCATAACCACGACTGAGCAGTTACAGTTCATTAGCAATTGAATGTAGATCCGTACCTCTAGCATGAACAACTTTCGTCTTCGAATCGTTTGCGTATTCGACAAAATTTGATACTCAACCTTCAAATTAAACGATAACGTGACAATTTTGACTCTCAAAATAAGTTTCGTGCAACCATTTCTCATAGTAAGTTCACTTTACGACGCGTTTACAAGGGCCATGTTGTAGTTTTCGTACTAAATCTTTTGATGCACTTGCCAAATAAAATTATCACTTCACGGGATTTATTGCAACAATATCTATTTTAACGGTAAACGTCGGGAGGGTAAATATTTTATTTACCGTAAAAATGCAACATAATAGTTTAAAATATTACTTGCCAAATGTTAAAAAAGAATGAGACATGTATAGGCTCCTTACGAGCATTAAAATTTGACGATTTGTAAGTACTAATTTGATTAGTCTATACAAATAAAGATAATTTTGACTTTGATTTTGATGGCGATTCAAACGCGAAAGTTTTTCGTGCTAGCCGTACCGAGCGCTGCGCCGGCGCACGACGCGCTCATTTGCCGATAACGAGCGAGAGCAATCAGGAATGGGTATTTTGTTTATGTTTACAACGGAAGGGTGAGAGTTCAAATCCTAAATACTAACTATCTGTAACTTGAATTTCCTTTAAATCTTTCTTTAGTAACACAAGGGATATACAGCTTTCATAGAGATATCAAACTTATGGATTAATGTATAAAATCTTTGTCAATGATGGTATGTCTAGATATAAGGCAATCTTTGTCGGAATTTTTATAGGTATTTGCTGAAAACTTTTAGATTACCACTAATCGAGATATTGGGTATCCTATTATAAAACAAACTCTAACAAAAACGTTTAGTTTGTCTAATCAGACACCACAATTGTGACACACAGAATACACAATCGTGTATAAGTTAAAGAAAAATTAAAATCTGACTAAAGATATTGTATCGGTTGGTTTATACTCGTACACATAAAGACTAGCGTAAGAGTTCTTCAAAGTGCAAAAGTAAAGCTAGATCATCTGTCTTGCCAAATCTTTTAGGATTGAACTTTCAAAAGTCAAAAGCTCATTGTGTTGTGACTGGGCACTGATTATGAAATTTAAAAGAGCTATTTGCTTTGTTCTAAACCCTGAATAAGCTGAAAGACTAAAAGCGTCTTGCAAGATATGGATTTGCATTACAAAATCATAAAATAAAATTAACGTAGATGTCAGTCAATTCTTATAGCTAAACTTGAAAATAAAATACAAGATTAAAAGCTTCTTATGTTGGACCATAACCTTTAACAAAATAACTTGTCGATTCGATAATAAATTAATCTCTCTCTCTCAAAAATAAAATTACACACGTAAACTACTTATTGGAAAATAATTTTTTTTTCGAATTAAATTAACCGTAGTAGTTGTTATTCATATTAACTTGTCACTTGAGGTTAACGATTTTCCGCAAGATTTTCAATAAAGATGTATTGATTAAAAACATGCACGTCTACGAGTATAAGGTCGTTCACACTGAGCCTGTGAATCTCCAGAGTACAGACGACAGCATATAAGACTATACAATTTATTGAAAAATCCACCTTAATACAACTAAATAAGATTGTTGTTTTTATCTTGATATGCTGTCGCCTGTACGTGCCTGCGGATGACAGCCAGATGGTAATCGCGCATTGTTTCCGCGGGGAAATTGTAAAAACGCATAATTACCGCACATCTATTCGTTTGGAAGGAAGTTAATGTAATGATTATACTTAAAAGGTACGTTTATGTGTCAAACATGTATTTCCTTTGGTGTAAAAATGCAAGAAAATGACTAAAAGAGGCATAAAACTATTAATTCTAAAACATTAACTAAAGANTTCTATGCTAAGTTTAATATAGGCTAATCCTTCATTCGCCTGTGGTAAAATTAGAAACCGAAGTACTCCTACTCAGGAAAAAATTGAAGAGGATCGTGCGGCGAAGCAAGCGTATTTGGGAGGACCAAGTGGCTATTGACCGGTTGGTCATCACAGGTCCCAGGAACCACTGGGGAGACGAGACGAAGTTGTGAAAGAACTACGCGAGCTCCACTTCATTAACTGGCGGAAGGTGGCGCAGAGCAGAGCAGTGGAGATTCTTACGCCCGTATTCACAAACGATGCTCACTTAAGTGAAGCAACAAATCGAACACACAGCGTTGAATAGAGCTGTGTGATTGGTTCGTGTGTCACCCTGTGCGTTAACGTGCACTGTGAGACCTCATAGTAATGTTTGTGAATACGGGCGTTACTGTCAGTGGCAAAACTCACTTACGCCCGTATTCTCGAATGTACAGCGATGAATAGAGCTGTGTGATTGGATCGTGTGTCACCCTGTGCGTTAACGTGCACTGTGAGACCTCATAGTAATATTTATGAATACTGGCATTAGGGTCGCTGCGCCATCTTAGTTAGTTGTGCTCCTGCAATAGAACAAAGTAGGGATCGATTCTGATTAAATGTTTGTGTTTATTTTCAGTTTCGGACGCACATGGACTCGGTGTACGACTTCATCGTGGTGGGCGGCGGGTCGGCGGGCTCGGCGCTGGCGGCGCGGCTCTCCGAGGTGCCCGAGTGGCGCGTGCTGCTGCTCGAAGCTGGTAACTAAACTTTACTACATATACATTCTATTATAATATTGCTTTAGTGGTAGACAACAAATGTATTCTACTCTGGCATCACCACACGGCTTCCTCTTAAGACACCCGCGGGAAGAGTAGGAGTTGGCGACAAATGTCGCAAGAGGCGACTTAGGGACTACACATCAAACAGAGAACGGGCAGCAGCGCTCTCTGAAAAACATCAATATTTTAAACTGCGATCTCCAACCCGCCTGCCAAGTGTGGGGATTATGGAAAAACCCTCCACTATAGTGGAGGAGGCTCATAGTCTAGCAGTGGACTGTAAAGAGCTGTTGATGATGAAGGTAGACAACAGCATACAAAAGTTTTTATTCAATTTTTAGAATGATTATAACCTCGTCTCCATTGATTCTGAGTGGGTGTGTTGATTGTTGAGTAGTTAGTTCGTTACATCTAGAAGTGCCATTTGTTTATCGAGCAATTATCGTATCGTAAATTACGCGTACTCTACTCTTCAAACGGCGTAAATTACGCCGTTTGAAGAGGACTAACTTGTTGTGGAAATTAAGCTCTTTAATAAATGAAGAATATTTTTAAAACCGTTAAAATTCCATGGCCTTATTTTACGTGACTAAATTTTCCATGTAAAACATAAAACATGCTAGCGAAACTTCAAGCATACTCTATTTGCATTACAGGCTTCGACGAGCCCACGGGAGCTCAGGTGCCGTCCATGTTCCTGAACTTCATCGGCTCCAGCATCGACTGGGGCTACCAGACCGAGCCCGAGCCCGCCGCCTGCCTCGGCGAGAAGGACCGCAAGTGCTACTGGCCCAGGGGGAAGGTAATTCATTATCTACAAACTGTTAACTTAGTTAAAATAGTTACTATCCGTTCGCGATAAGTTTGCCGCTGGCGATATGACGTCACTCGAAAGGAAGCGTCTATAACTATAGCAAACTATATTGAAAATATTTTTTATTTATTAATATTGATAAAAATTGTGTATTTGCATAAAATAAGACACATTAGGTAATTGCGTTTATCACTAACTAATTGCGTTTAATCGCGGTTGGGGAAGGGGACGCGCATTCCACGGACTGGCAAACTTAGCGCGAACGGGTAGTAGATACACACTTAATTAATACATGCATCAACTGATCTGAATTTGTACTGGAGGGAAGTCGACGTTGCAGCGGTGGGAACGAGAAGTGGGAATAGTCTCGCAGCATCATCTGAAGTTTACTGTCCGATGCCATCTGTTAGGCTTTCCTTATTCATAAACCTTTCCAAAATACCAAAATTTGACCGTTTCACACTTGCTGTACAGGTGCTCGGCGGGACCTCGGTGATGAACGGCATGATGTACATGCGCGGTTCTCGCAAGGACTACGACGCGTGGGCGGCGGCCGGCGTGGAGGGCTGGGCCTACGACGACGTGCTGCCCTACTTCCTGCGCTCCGAGGACAACAAGCAGCTGGACCAGATGGACCAGGGCTACCACGCGACGGGCGGCCCGTTAACTGTCTCGCAGTTCCCGTACCATCCCCCGCTGAGCTACAGCTTGGTGAAGGCTGGAGAGGAGTTGGGTAAGCTGGCTGTTTAAGGAGCTTAGAAACAAGCAGCTGGACCAGATGGACCAGGGCTACCACGCTACTGGCGGCCCATTAACAGTCTCGCAGTTCCCGTACCATCCCCCGCTGAGTTACAGCTTGGTGAAGGCTGGAGAGGAGTTGGATAAGAGTGTTGCTTTGTTTAGGACTGGGTGTCCTCTGTATCCTATGTGTATGCGCTCCGATGAAAACAAGCAGCTGGATCAGATGGACCAGGGCTACCACGCGACGGGCGGCCCTTTAACNTGATTCAGTAATATTGGGAATTCGTCTTTAAATCTAGAGCACTAAGGTTCACGAGTCAAACATTGTATCGGAAACAGAGGATTTATTATGATACTACCTAGTCCCTAATTATTATCTACCCCGAACGTATCGCACCGCTGCGGGACAAGCCCGCGCCCGCCGCGCTTCCCCAGGCGGACAAGAAGGGAACGCCCGTCAAGAGGTCAGTCCGAATGCGTCTTTAAATCTATATCATTAAGGTTCCTTCAGTTGCGAAAAACACGGAAGATGAGTCGACGAACATTGTATAGGAAGTTTAGGAAGCTGAGGAACTATCGAATTTTGATACTAGTAGGTAGTTTCATTATCCTTAATAATATTTTGTCCTTAATAATATGACAAGCCCGCGCCCGCCGCGCTTCCCCAGGCGGACAAGAAGGGAACACCTGTTAAGAGGTCAGTGACATCGCATTGAGATGGAAAATTCGTCTTTAAATCTAGATTTAAACTTTGAACTCTAGGTTCATTTAGGACAGTTGCGGAAAAGACGACAGACAAGTCAAACATTCTATAGCATTGGTTCCCAGTGTGGGGCGCGCCCCCCAGGGGAGGCGCAGAGACCTATAAAGGGGGGCGCGGGCCATCTGTGTACTTAAGTATAAAAAACCTGCGACCGCTGAGAGAATGCATTCCAGACTGCTCGATATGACCAATAAATAATCTTGACTGGAAGAGGGGGGTGCGGAATTTTTTGTATGGTCGAAAGGGGGCGCGTCTCAAAATATAGAGTTTGGGAACCAATGTTCTATAGGAAGCTAAGGGATATTCTCTATTCTACTCATGCTAAGGTCTCTTCATTCAGAGTAACGCACATGACTGCGGTATAACGCATCGTCACAACAACGGTAGCAAATATGATATTTATAATTTTTCGAGCAATCAAGAGTCTAAAATCACACAAAACACTTGTACGGTGATTTGTGCTCCTATCAAAAGACCCAATGTATGTCGTTTTCTTTGCTCATGCTATATTTTTTTCGTTGACTAGATTAAAACAGCATTTGGTGTCATTATTTGGGAATTTTGGGATAGTAGGCTACCTACAGTCCCCGTAACCGTAAACAAATGCTTCCTTTTGCTTCCCCGTAGTCGCTAAAGTGGCGCCGCCCTGGTGGCAAAATCTGTTGTTTAACTTTACACGAGTCTTCATCATCGTTACAGAGCGAAGTGGCACCTGGGCATCCGTTCTCAGAGCAAGCCCAACGACATCATGCTGGAGGTGTTCCGCGCCATGAAGGCGCTCGACTACGAGTGGAAGGTCATCAACCCCTACCACGTGAGGTGAGTGAGCACTAAAAATGTTTAGTCTTGGCGATCACGTGACGTGCGCGTGACGTAGTCGTTTTAGCTATTCAATTTTTTTTATTCAATAGTCAAGTCTGTACCTGCAGTTCTAGGGAGCGCGCCCCAAATAGATTTTATCGATTTTACTAGTTAAGCCCACTTTTGACGATAAAATTTTATCACGGCGCGCAACCTAACCCGGCTTAGCAAAGGACAAAGTAATTATTTTGTATTATTATTGTGATGTATTGATGAAGATGAAGAATGGAATCGCTCTGTAAATAGCAAATAATATGCACGATGACATTTCGATCTATGTGCATCACGTGGTGATGCTATTTTCGATGTGCTGATCAACTATTAAATATTATTAAAATATTCCACAGGGTGCGAACACTAAACAAAATGACGGACAAGTTCGTGAAGATGTCGTTGCAGCTGTACCAGGTGGACTACAAGTCCTACTTGCTGGACTTCAAGTCGCTGTCCGGCGAGCGCGAGGACAGCGACGACGAGCCCGCCTCGCCCATGGCGCCGCCGCCGCCCGCCACGCCCACCACGCCGCAAGGTCAGTCTGTAGACTATAGCAGGCTAGCGACCAGGTGGACTACAAGTGCTACCTGCTGGACTCAAGTTGCTGTCCGGCGAGCGACTCTTACATATGGATCGATTTTTTACGACCATTCAATCGATTATATTATTGTCCACTTAAGTCATAAATACTTTTGGTTATAACGATTCATTATTATTTTGGATTCCATTTGAACTATGGCCGTACCGCATAATCAAAAATGTATATTGATTCGATTCTATTAGTCATATCGATGAATTATTACCGATTATGCGGCCGGCACACTAGCCCCGCCTTTACAATTTATAATTAACATGTTTTTTGGGTGACTATAAGTACTCCTTCCACTTCCAGGTCACCACACTATGGAGTTCTTCGAGATGTGCGCAGCGCTCATCATCCAGCTCGCTCGGTAACTCGCCGCACCTCGCTCGTACGGACGGAACATGCCTTGAGACTTACGTATTCTAAACACCGAAGAAAATGACGTGAATTCAAACCAAAGGAAATGGAGTCATAAAATGACAATCACGCGTCAATCTTGGCGTCAAACGCTTGACAGTGACGCGCTTATCAGACTGCTTAAGCTTTTAGTCGCTTACTTTTACCGTTTTTTTATATTATGAATCATTCACGTCCCGTGTTTTGACCAGATAATAATATAAATGAAAACATTAATTGTGCAATAATAAAAAAAAAACTCATCAAAGTCCAAGGCATGACCTAGTGTTCCCTAAATCTCCACTAATAAAAAAATCAGCTAACATCATTTCAGTATCCTATTAAAACTTTGAAGTATTAGCTTTACTTAGGTCCCCATGTTACGATATACTTCATACAAATAGACTGAGGCGAAGTTCAAAGTAATTTTAAAGAGTATCGACCTTCCTGTAGGGGTGTATATTTTATTTCGATTACGAATTCGTTTCGACAAAGTGCTTGCTACACGGGTCCACAAAAGACAACCAAGCACTCGTGTGGTGCATCGAGTAAAACCAGAGACAAATACAGATAAAATATCACAAACCATAAAGAAGTGGGCGTGGCTTCTCACTCACACAAGAGTTGTCTTTGCCCACGGCCACAGACCCGTGTGGTCAGCCCTTAACATGGGAAAGTTAATTTCATTATGAAAAGTAACATTTTCAGCTAATTATTATAACTTTTATTTTAATTTTGCGTCTTTAACTTACGTTTTTAAATGTTGTGAATTGGTTAATACTTCGGTACTTATTAATTTATTTAAAAAGGGGGATGTATCAGTATTTAGTTACACCTTACTTCCAATTGCATGCATATTGTGATAAACAAGTATATTGTTATGTTGTATGTTTATTTACCAAAGATTTATCAGCAAAAAAGTGCCTTTGTATAATTGCACGAATAATTTTATGGTTCGTACGGAAACTGGAAAGAGAATGTAACAATAAGAAGAAATCAGTGAATAGCATACTAAATAACGGGATGAATATGAAACTTAATACTTTCATACAATAATTTAGCAGCTACACTCAGAACACAATATTTGCTATCGCGTGTTTTAAAATTATTGAGTTGAAGAACCGTCACATTATTAAACTTTTGCGCAACTAGCAAGAAAGTGTTCCGTAGCAGTGATATTTTTGTAGAAGTAATAGATATTTATACGAATTACATATTGTTTTAGTATGCTATTCATTGTTTCCTGGATAGATATACAAGAGTTGTTTTTATAGCAATAGAAAAGGGTTATGGGTGTCACGCAATAAGTATTGAATAAAAGGAAGTTACGGGATATTGTACATTTCGTAGTCTAGTTGTATAGTTCGTCGATTTGAAATTATTTATTATTGAACAAATGATAAACATGTTGTACAGCTTAGTGTGTGTATAGTGCAATTCCAAAATTTAGCTTCCATTAATTAATGAATCATTAAACATGTCAAAAAATATTGTCTTTTATTTCCGGTATTAAATCTAAAATCAAATAAAAGTCGGAAATGTAACAGAATACTGTAATTTATTACAGATCTAATCATTAAAATTAAAAATGACTAAGTAATTTGTTGGTACATAACAAGTGGATATTTAGTTCTATCTAGTTTCACATCAGTATCTAGTGTAATAAATAAAACTTACATTGCAATTATTTCAATATCGAGGTCTCCTAAAAATTGGCTAACAAATATCACAAGAAATATATCTGTTCCAGTGTCATGTGTTTCGTTTTTTTTTTCATAAAGATCATTTTAAGGCGATTAGAGTCCTCAATCCGCGCCAAATGGCCATTTTGTAAAGCCTACTCCTCTTTTACTGCTGGACAGAAATAGTTGAAAAAAATATTATGTTATACAACAGTTCAAGGACTACATTTGTGACGTTTGAATTTTTGCTACGTCTCTTTGTTTTGGATTAAAAAAATAAATACGGGACATCAATTTTTTACTTAAANTACAGCTTGGTGAAGGCTGGAGAGGAGTTGGGTAAGCTGGCTGTTTAAGGAGCTTAGAAACAAGCAGCTGGACCAGATGGACCAGGGCTACCACGCTACTGGCGGCCCATTAACAGTCTCGCAGTTCCCGTACCATCCCCCGCTGAGTTACAGCTTGGTGAAGGCTGGAGAGGAGTTGGATAAGAGTGTTGCTTTGTTTAGGACTGGGTGTCCTCTGTATCCTATGTGTATGCGCTCCGATGAAAACAAGCAGCTGGATCAGATGGACCAGGGCTACCACGCGACGGGCGGCCCTTTAACTGTCTCGCAGTTCCCGTACCATCCGCCGCTGAGTTACAGCTTGGTGAAGGCTGGAGAGGAGTTGGGTAAGAGTGTTTCTTTGTTTAGGACTAGGTGTCCTCTGTATCCTATGTGTATGATGCGCTCCGAGGACAACAGGCCGCTGGACCAGACCCGTTAACTGTCTCGCAGTTCCTGTACCATCCGCCGCTTAGTTAGTGTAACGTAACAGCTTGGTGAAGTCTGGAGAGGAGTTGGGTAAGCTGGCTGTTTAAGGAGCTTAGAAACAAGCAGCTGGACCAGATGGACCAGGGCTACCACGCTACTGGCGGCCCATTAACAGTCTCGCAGTTCCCGTACCATCCCCCGCTGAGTTACAGCTTGGTGAAGGCTGGAGAGGAGTTGGGTAAGAGTGTTGCTTTGTTTAGGACTAGGTGTCCCCTGTATTCTATGTGTATGCGCTCTGAGGATTACAAGCAGCTGGACCAGATGGATTAGGGCTACCGAAACGTCAAGCCGTGAGTAAGATAATGTAAACGGCGCGTTAAGACCCGTGTCTTACTATTTTAGTTATCAAAAACACTTTAGCAATACACAATTCATATTTCGCGAATAAATAACAAAATTTGATTTCGTCAGAACAAGAGATTCTGTTGCTATGCAAGTGTTTTAGGCGCATTCGTAATCCTCGTATCACCGTATGCCTTTTAAGGATTTGTCTCATTAAAATTCATAATGTTATCATCAGGTTACCCGACCCGTGACCTAAACGGCGAGCACCACGCCGGCTTCGCGATCGCGCAGACCACCAACCGCAACGGATCGCGCCTCAGCGTGGCGCGCGCGTACTTGCGGCCGGCGCGTCATCGCCACAACCTGCACGTCATGCTTAACGCGACCGTCGCACGAGTGCGCATCAACCAAACCACGCGTCAAGCATATGCTGTGGAAGTCAGGAACAGTCAAGGCGGGACGGAGGTCATCTTCGCCAATAATGAGATCATTCTCAGGTAAGTGAACCCTTTTGCCAATAAGGAGATTATTCTGAGGTAGGTAAACGCTGCGACCGAAACAAGAAAGCCAAGACGGGAATCTGCGACTGTTACAACTTTAGACCACGTATGTACGAGTATATGCATCATTTCGAGAGCGAGACAGAGACCAAAGACAAAAACCTAGTCAAGTAGCGGGCTGCGGTCTCCTACCTTGGTTACTTGCCCTTGTCGAGGCACAAACTGTCGCCTTTAGAAGAGACAAGGGTGACGTAGGTCTAGAAGCAAAAGCCAAGTAAATTGAGACTCTCTCGTTATCCCCACAACCTGCACGTCATGCTTAACGCGACCGTCGCACGAGTGCGCATCAACCAGACCACGCGTCAAGCATATGCTGTGGAAGTCAGGAACAGTCAGGGCGGGACGGAGGTCATCTTCGCCAATAACGAGATTATTCTGAGGTAAGCATTTTAGAAAAGAGAAAGGCCAAGTAGGTCTAGAGGCTGAAATCAGAATCAACGAAGAATACCCAGGCAAGGAGGTAATCTCCGCCGTAATCAGATCATTATGAGGTAGGTTACACCTTTGAAATGTTTTGGAAGAGAGGAGAGCTAAGTAGGATAGTACCACAACTCAGAATCAACCAATTGAGACCCTCTCTTACTGNGAAGGGTGAGTAGGTCTAGTAGCAAAAGCCAAGTAAATTGAGACCCTCTCGTCATCGCCACAACCTGCACGTCATGGTCAACGCGACGGTCGCACGAGTGCGCATCAACCAGACCACGCGTCAAGCATATGCTGTGGAAGTCAGGAACAGTCAAGGCGGGACTGAGGTCATCTTCGCCAATAATGAGATCATTCTGAGGTAAGCGTTTTAGAAACGAGAAAGGCCAAGTAGGTATAGAGGTAAAGTCCGGTCGCCGAGCAGCCGCAGTAAGTGTGCGAGCGCGATAACAATATAATTACGTGCGAGTGATAAGAATGGGTAGCTTGGTGTCATTGGACGAAATTCAACGTGCTCGGCGACCAGATTTTAGAACTCAGAATCAACATAGTGAGGCAACAAGGTCATCTCCACTGTTAATCAGAGAATCTGAGGTAGGTTACACTTTTGAAATGTTTTGGGAGAGAGAAGGGCAAAGTAGGATAATGAGGCACTATCTCATTATCCTAGTGCCACAACTCAGAATCAATAAATTGAGACTCTCTCGTCATCGCCACAACCTGCACGTCATGCTTAACGCGACCGTCGCACGAGTGCGCATCAACCAGACCACGCGTCAAGCATATGCTGTGGAAGTCAGGAACAGTCAGGGTGGCACGGAGGTCATCTTTGCCAATAATGAGATCATTCTCAGGTAAGTGAACCCTTTTGCCAATAATGAGATTATTCTGAGGTAGGTAAACGCTGCGACCGAGACAAGAAAGCCAAGACGGGAATCTGCGACTGTTACAACTTTAGACCATGTATGTACGAGTATAAATATGCATCATTTCGAGAGCGAGACAGAAAAAAAGACAAAAGTCTAGTCAAGTAACGGGCTGCGGTCTCCTACCTGGGTTACTTGCCCTTGTCGAGGCACAAACTGTCGCCTTTAGAAGAGAGAAGGGTGAGTAGGTCTAGTAGCAAAAGCCAAGTAAATTGAGACCCTCTCGTCGCCGCCACAACCTGCACGTCATGCTTAACGCGACCGTCGCACGAGTGCGCATCAACCAGACCACGCGTCAAGCATATGCTGTGGAAGTCAGGAACAGTCAGGGCGGGACGGAGGTCATCTTCGCCAATAACGAGATTATTCTGAGGTAAGCGTTTTAGAAAAGAGAAAGGCCAAGTAGGTCTAGAGGGAGAACTCTCAACATACTGAGGCAACAAGGTCATCTCCGCCGTAATCAGATCATTTTGAAATGTTTTGGAAGAGAGGAGGGCTAAGTAGGATAGTGACACAACTCAGTATCAATAATAAAGACCGGCGCGTCATCCCCACAACCTGCACGTCATGCTTAACGCGACCGTCGCGCGCGTGCGCATCAACCAGACCACGCGCCAGTCAGGAGGAGGAGTCACAGTCAGAAGTCAGGAACAGTCAAGGAGGGACGGAGGTCATCTTCGCCAATAACGAGATTATTCTGAGGTAAGCGTTTTAGAAAAGAGAAAGGCCAAGTAGGTCTAGAGGGAGAACTCTCAACATACTGAGGCAACAAGGTCATCTCCGCCGTAATCAGATCATTTTGAAATGTTTTGGAAGAGAGGAGGGCTAAGTAGGATAGTGACACAACTCAGTATCAATAATAAAGACCGGCGCGTCATCCCCACAACCTGCACGTCATGCTTAACGCGACCGTCGCGCGCGTGCGCATCAACCAGACCACGCGCCAGTCAGGAGGAGGAGTCACAGTCAGAAGTCAGGAACAGTCAAGGAGGGACGGAGGTCATCTTCGCCAATAACGAGATTATTCTGAGGTAAGCATTTTAGTCCTGCGCTGCCCGCATCCAGGCTCCTCCCGCGACCTTTACCAGATCGTCGGTCCACCTAGTAGGAGGCCTGCCCACGCTACGTTTTCCAGCCCGTGGTCGCCACTCGAGAACTTTCCTGCCCCAACGGCCATCGTCTCTACGAGCTATGTGCCCCGCCCACTGCCACTTGATTTTAGCAATTCTGCGAGCTATGTCGGTTACTTTGGTTCTCCTACGGATCTCCTCATTTCTGATTCGATCACGCAGGGAAACTCCGAGACTGGATGCGGGCAGCGCAGGACCGTTCATTGTGGAAAACCTTGGGGGAGGCCTTTGTCCAGCAGTGGACGTCATTTGGCTGAAACGAACGAACGAACGAACGAAGCATTTTAGAAAAGAGAAAGGCCAAGTAGGTATAGAGGCTGAACTCAGAATCAACGAAGAATACCCAGACAAGGAGGTAATCTCCGCCGTAATCAGATCATTATGAGGTAGGTTACACCTTTGAAATGTTTTGGAAGAGAGGAGAGCTAAGTAGGATAGTACCACAAGTCAGAATCAACCAATTGAGACCCTTTCTTACTGTATTTACGTACCTTTTTGAGACGTTAAGGCCACGACCAATACAATAAACCACGACGAGAAACTGCGACCGATACTTGACGTCAGGCAATGTTTAAGCGTCAGCTCGAGAGCAAGACAGAGACAGAAAATTTGTCAAGTCATAGTTGTGGTTTTCTTCCCGTCTCGATCGCTTATCGTAGTTGTCTTTTTTTTTTTTTTTTTTTTTTNCAAGAGCAGGGGACGGCTGGAGATCGCGTCGGCTGATCCCTTTGCGTATCCCAAGATCTTAGCCAAGTAAGTTTTTCTTACTTACTTTTCATATACCTAATTTAAGACTGCGCCAAGACCGGCATGGTCGGCGAGCGCCTCGACAACGGCTCGCGGACCATACAGATCATACCTACCGTACTGCATCCCAAGAGTAGGGGACGGCTGGAGATCGCGTCGGCTGATCCATTTGCGTATCCCAAGATCTATGCCAATAAGTGAGTTGTTCATTATAACTTAAGTTACGACTGCGCCAAGACCGGCATGGTGGGCGAACGCCTGGACAACGGCTCGCGGACCATACAGATCATACCTACAGTGCTGCATCCCAAGAGTCGAGGACGGCTGGAGATCGCGTCGGCTGATCCATTTGCGTATCCCAAGATCTTTGCTAAGTAAGTTGTTCTTCATATTACNTTTGTACATGAAAAAGCGTGTACGATAATAGCCGCAATAGTTTCAGAGAACTGTGGTGCGACTACTAACGCCCACTTCCGTAAAAATATTCCATAAACATACTACTTTAGGCGTGCTGTATGTATGTGTGTGATGTGTGTATGTGTGTGGTGTGTGTATTTGTGTGTTGTAAGCTTGTAAGAGTGTGTTGGCTTTAATAATATAGAATAGAAGGAACCCAAGTTACCCGTTTAAGAGATTTTCAATCTCCTGATAAGTGAGCGTATGAAGCCATTTATCAATCACAATTTTACATTCACGCAAGGTAAGTTTGTAGATGTTGAGAAGTCTATTCTTCTTCTTCTTTTCGTGTCGACAACAAACCTACACAGTGTCAGCCCAAAACTCCGCCACAAGAGTGGCGTTGTCAGTAGCACTCATCAAATCCTCCTGAGTGCAGTTGCTTGGGCACTCAGGGCATGACAATAGAAGTCTATTAATTTTATTATATAATTTAGGACTCAGGAACCGATATTGTCGACTCGCCACTCCAAGTACGCAGGAATACATTTGTGTAAGGTGAAGGTGACAATAGGTGTAGATGCCCAGCGATGGTGGCTTGTTCGATCTTCGTTGACTACTAGACCAGAACCACAGAAAGTCGTCTGGGCTACCACTCATCTAATAAAAGTTCCCCAACTCCAGACCCACCTATAGGAAATTCGCCCGCTGCCCAGCGGTTGGACCGGTAGGGTGGTGTGTCGTTCTACAGGCAGGGCCCACTCAATGTTCACTCGCGACCCACCACTGGGTCGTGACCCATAGTTTGGGAAACCCTGGACTAGACAATTATCTCCTTTATTCCTGCATTCCTATTAATGCTATATCAGCAAACTACTGCACTTGGTTGCAGAATTCACCCCAGCGACACCACCACACTGTAGGGAGGGAGTCCCATCTTAACAATGTCACAGATGGTAGAATTAACAGATTTTCCAAGCTACTAAATTGATTGATAACTTGGTAAATGATTTGAATTCGACTAAATGGGAACATTAGACGTCCCCAATCCGTCTGGCCAGTGTGAGGAGTGTAGTGACAGAGATTGGGTCGCGTTTCTGTAATGGAGACTAAATGATCTGATGATTTGCTTCCAGGCATATCAGAAGTAACCGGCTTCATCAACACCAAGTACGCGGACCCAGCAGGCGACCACCCCGACGTGCAGCTGTTCTTCGGCGGCTTCCTGGCCGACTGCGCCAAGACCGGCATGGTTGGGGAGCGCCTCGACAACGGCTCGCGGATCATACAGATCATACCTACCGTACTGCATCCCAAGAGTAGGGGACGGCTTGAGATCGCGTCGGCTGATCCCTTCGAGTATCCCAAGATCTTTGCCAAGTGAGTTGTTCTGCATATACTTACCAAGACCGGCATGGTCGGCGAGCGCCTGGACAACGGCTCGCGGACCATACAGATCATACCTATCGTACTGCATCCCAAGAGCAGGGGACGGCTGGAGATCGCGTCGGCTGATCCCTTCGAGTATCCCAAGATCTTCGCCAAGTGAGTTGATCTGCTTACAAACTTTATGCTTAGATACAGCTTCTGCGTCCCGCCCGATTCTGCAAGTCGTTTCCCACATTCCCACTAAAAGGTCTTCCAATTATTCAAGGTTCAAGGCTAACGTGTCACTTTTTTACTTGTCCTTCCAAAATCTTATCACATTTTTAAGGACGAGTTTTCTTGTCTGATGAATTATTTCGTGTACGTACTTATACATAGGTGTAAATACCAGGCACTTGAAGAAAGGGAGAAGTATTTCAAAGGCATTCTATCGGACAATATAAAAGAAGGATTAGGTATAACTTAGTTGTCCCATTACTAAACTTACTTTTACACTTCATTTCAGCTACCTCACCCACCCGNGAGTAGGGGACGGCTGAAGATCGCGTCGGCTGATCCATTTGCGTACCCCAAGATCTTTGCCAAGTAAGTTGTTCTGCATAGGTATACTCGTACCTATTTTTCATATAACTTAAGTTACATCGGCTCGCGGACCATACAGATCATACCTACAGTGTTGCATCCCAAGAGTAGGGGACGGCTGGAGATCGCGTCGGCTGATCCCTTCGAGTATCCCAAGATCTTTGCCAAGTAAGTTAATCTGCTTACAGCTACTGCGTCTCGATTCTGCAAGCGTTCTTCGACAGTCGTTTCCCATTAAAAGATCTTCCAATGATTCAAGGTTCAAGGCTAGCGTGTCACTTATTTACTTGTCCTTTCAAAATTTCAATTCTTTCTAGGCCTTTACATTTGTAAGGACAAGGACGATATGTGCAAATACCAGGCACTCGAATAAAGGGAGAACAATCTTTCAAAGGAATCGTGTCGGACACTTACAATGAATGAAGGAATATTATTTTGAAAACTATAAATAACTTGAAAAAATCGAACTGCCTAAGGCGGAAATTGAACCCACGACGGGTTAGTTAGTCCCATTACTGATCTTAATCTTACACTTCATTTCAGCTACCTCACCCACCCGGACGACGTCAAGACCCTGGTAGAAGGCATCAAGTTCGCCATCAAGCTATCAGAGACGAAGGCGCTGAAGCGATTCGGGGTGCAACTGGACCGGACGCCGGTGCCGGGCTGCGAGAAGATCAAGTTCGGATGCGACGCCTACTGGGAGTGCGCCGTCAGGATGTCCACGGCTCCGGAGAACCACCAGGTCGGGTCCTGCCGCATGGGGCCGCGTGGTGACCCTGATGCAGTCGTCGACCCGTTGCTACAGGTACTATTATTATTATTATTGGTTTTGGGCCTTCATTTGCGCCAGCTCGACCAGGTTTGATCTATTGTGGCAGCCCTTGTCTTTAGAGTTCACTGCTTAGTCCCGTTGAGTCTATAAATTTCCAGATTCTTTGGAGCGTGATATCTGCTATCTCATCCGGGTGCATGATGTGTCGCCCGAGATGGATATACAGGTACTATGTTTGTACAATAGAACAGCTTTGGTGCTTTGCGAGGCTACTGGGAGTGCGCCGTCAGGATGTCCACGGCTCCGGAGAACCACCAGGTCGGATCCTGCCGCATGGGGCCGCGTGGTGACCCTGATGCTGTTGTCGACCCTTTGCTGCAGGTATGAGCGTAACTACTGTTTTGCTATGTTGTTCCTTTCACGACGCTATTGGGAGTGCGTTGTCTTATTGCCACCACGCCCGAAAAAAGCCCTAGACCGGTTCTTTCCTCATGGGTCCGCACGGCGATCTTGATGGTGGCGAGAACAGCTTTATTACTTCTCTTGCGACGCCTACTGGGAGTGCACCGTGAGGATGTCCATGGCTCCGGAGAACCACCAGGCAGGGTCATGTCGCATGGGGCCGCGTGGTGACCCTGATGTTGTTGTCGACCTGCTGCTGCAGGTATGCGCATGCTATAGAACAGCTTTGTTACTTCTCTTCGATGTTACTGGCCTACTGAGAGCCTACTGAGACGGCTCCGGAGAACCACTAGAATGGCTCCTGCCGCATGAACCACCCGCCGAGTTGACAAGTCTTGCCACGCGCTGAGTTTTTATCGGCGCCGATAAACCAAGAAGTTTCCCATCAGTAATCTGGGACCACGTCCGAGGGCAGACCCAAAACTGCACTCATTTAGACTATGCTCACTAGTTTCCAGACTGTGTATTGCTGTTTATTTTCAAAGGACTGACAATGTTTTTGCTACTTTTACTAAGGGTTTTTCCCTAAGACCCTTAATAGGTAGTCCCACATCTTTTGAGTTTCTCTTCTGATTGAGTGCTTAATATTGCGTCGTGTAAGCGCCCTGGAAAGAGCCTAAGTACTGAAAGCTCTGGCTTTGACTTGGCAGGTGCAAGGCATCGACCGGCTGCGCGTGGCGTGCGCGTACTTTCTTGCCTATTTTAGTATTGATGAGTGTCTCGTTTTGATTGTCGAATGATAGTAAGTCGGCCGTTTGGTGTAGTGGTTCGAAACGGACTACTATTCCGGAGGTAGCGGGTTCGATTCCCGCACAGTACAAACATTTGTGTGCATGAACATATTTGTTTGTATTGGACTGGGTGTTTTCTATGTATAATAAGTATGTCTTTACAAAAAAAAAGTATTTAAGTATGTTTATATCCGTTGTCTAGTACCCATAGTAGGTACAAGCTTTGCTTAGTTTGGGACTAGAAGCGCAGTGTAAAATGTCTAAGGATATTTATTTAATATTATTATTAATTCCTAATGACTGTGACCTGCAGGTGCGCGGCATCGACCGTCTGCGCGTGGCGGACGCGAGCGTGATGCCGGCGGCGCCGTCGGGCAACACCAACGCGCCCGCCGTCATGGTCGCCGAGCGAGCCGCCGACTTCATCAAGCAGCGCTGGCTGGGGACCACTAACGTGAGTAGAATACAATAGAATAGGATGGAATAGAATGGAATGGAATGGAGTGGAGTGGAGTGGAGTGGAATGGAATGGAATGGAATGGAATGGAATGGAACGGAACGGAACGGAACGGAACGGAACGGAACGGAATGGAATAGTATAGAATAGAATAAAAAAATTTTTATTTGCAAGAAAGGTATACAAAGAGTAGTTACTACTTTGTTCTTCTGATTCAAATTCAAATTATTTATTGCATGTCACATGGGTAAGGGTTGATAGAACATAATTTTGTACATGTGGCGCCCAGTGAAGGCGTTGCAAAAACTTAAAAATATCATTAAAATAGATAGGTAATTATTATGATTCATTTTGTTGCGTATCCAATGATAGTTTAACTTTGCCCTGGGGCAAACTGGACCTTCACTGGTTGGGATTTTATTCTCCTTTTTTCTTAGCTGATTAATTTCGTTGCGGTTCCAATGATAGTTTAATTTTCTCACGAGACTTTGACCTTTATTTGGTGATCAAGCAGTAGATCCTGGATACGCAAGAGTTGAAACAAACAAAAAAGATGTAGATCTGGGGGCNTGGCACGGAGGTCATCTTTGCCAATAATGAGATCATTCTCAGGTAAGTGAACCCTTTTGCCAATAATGAGATTATTCTGAGGTAGGTAAACGCTGCGACCGAGACAAGAAAGCCAAGACGGGAATCTGCGACTGTTACAACTTTAGACCATGTATGTACGAGTATAAATATGCATCATTTCGAGAGCGAGACAGAAAAAAAGACAAAAGTCTAGTCAAGTAACGGGCTGCGGTCTCCTACCTGGGTTACTTGCCCTTGTCGAGGCACAAACTGTCGCCTTTAGAAGAGAGAAGGGTGAGTAGGTCTAGTAGCAAAAGCCAAGTAAATTGAGACCCTCTCGTCGCCGCCACAACCTGCACGTCATGCTTAACGCGACCGTCGCACGAGTGCGCATCAACCAGACCACGCGTCAAGCATATGCTGTGGAAGTCAGGAACAGTCAGGGATTAGGACAACCAACAAGACAAACACGCATACATGGAATTACTATAACTAAAAGTGCTTAGAACTACCTAAGTGTTGTCTTAAATAAAGTATTATTAAATATTCGAGAGTAATTTACTTTTGAGCGTCGCTTCTAACAGATATAAATCTGCCCCGCAACCTCCAGCTTCAACACAAAGATATAAACACGTCATTTTCCAAACCATGTTGTTTGGAATTTTCCAGCAGATAACCTGCGCAGTCGCTCTCTAATTTGAATCAACCCTATTTCCAGCGCCGGCGCAGTAGCCTCGCCCCAGCTGCTCCAGCTCAGCGGCGTCGGCGACCCTGACGTATTAGCTCGCGCGGGAGTCCCCTTGACGCACGCGCTGCGCGGCGTCGGGCGCAATTTGCACAACCACGTGGCGCACTTCCTCAACTTCCGCGTCAACGACAACAACACGGCGCCGCTCAACTGGGCCACCGCCATGGAGTACCTGCTGTTTAGAGACGGACTCATGTCTGGCACGGGTGAGGAATTCAAAAATTCAAATTCAAATTCAAAATGTATTTATTGGAAACAAGATAATTTGTACATGAAAAAGCGTGTACGATAATAGCCGCAATAGTTTCAGAGAACTGTGGTGCGACTACTAACGCCCACTTCCGTAAAAATATTCCATAAACATACTACTTTAGGCGTGCTGTATGTATGTGTGTGATGTGTGTATGTGTGTGGTGTGTGTATTTGTGTGTTGTAAGCTTGTAAGAGTGTGTTGGCTTTAATAATATAGAATAGAAGGAACCCAAGTTACCCGTTTAAGAGATTTTCAATCTCCTGATAAGTGAGCGTATGAAGCCATTTATCAATCACAATTTTACATTCACGCAAGGTAAGTTTGTAGATGTTGAGAAGTCTATTAATCTTCTTCTTTTCGTGTCGACAACAAACCTACACAGTGTCAGCCCAAAACTCCGCCACAAGAGTGGCGTTGTCAGTAGCACTCATCAAATCCTCCTGAGTGCAGTTGCTTGGGCACTCAGGGCATGACAATAGAAGTCTATTAATTTTATTATATAATTTAGGACTCAGGAACCGATATTGTCGACTCGCCACTCCAAGTACGCAGGAATACATTTGTGTAAGGTGAAGGTGACAATAGGTGTAGATGCCCAGCGATGGTGGCTTGTTCGATCTTCGTTGACTACTAGACCAGAACCACAGAAAGTCGTCTGGGCTACCACTCATCTAATAAAAGTTCCCCAACTCCAGACCCACCTATAGGAAATTCGCCCGCTGCCCAGCGGTTGGACCGGTAGGGTGGTGTGTCGTTCTACAGGCAGGGCCCACTCAATGTTCACTCGCGACCCACCACTGGGTCGTGACCCATAGTTTGGGAAACCCTGCACTAGACAATTATCTCCTTTATTCCTGCATTCCTATTAATGCTATATCAGCAAACTACTGCACTTGGTTGCAGAATTCACCCCAGCGACACCACCACACTGTAGGGAGGGAGTCCCATCTTAACAATGTCACAGATGGTAGAATTAACAGATTTTCCAAGCTACTAAATTGATTGATAACTTGGTAAATGATTTGAATTCGACTAAATGGGAACATTAGACGTCCCCAATCCGTCTGGCCAGTGTGAGGAGTGTAGTGACAGAGATTGGGTCGCGTTTCTGTAATGGAGACTAAATGATCTGATGATTTGCTTCCAGGCATATCAGAAGTAACCGGCTTCATCAACACCAAGTACGCGGACCCAGCAGGCGACCACCCCGACGTGCAGCTGTTCTTCGGCGGCTTCCTGGCCGACTGCGCCAAGACCGGCATGGTTGGGGAGCGCCTCGACAACGGCTCGCGGATCATACAGATCATACCTACCGTACTGCATCCCAAGAGTAGGGGACGGCTTGAGATCGCGTCGGCTGATCCCTTCGAGTATCCCAAGATCTTTGCCAAGTGAGTTGTTCTGCATATACTTACCAAGACCGGCATGGTCGGCGAGCGCCTGGACAACGGCTCGCGGACCATACAGATCATACCTATCGTACTGCATCCCAAGAGCAGGGGACGGCTGGAGATCGCGTCGGCTGATCCCTTCGAGTATCCCAAGATCTTCGCCAAGTGAGTTGATCTGCTTACAAACTTTATGCTTAGATACAGCTTCTGCGTCCCGCCCGATTCTGCAAGTCGTTTCCCACATTCCCACTAAAAGGTCTTCCAATTATTCAAGGTTCAAGGCTAACGTGTCACTTTTTTACTTGTCCTTCCAAAATCTTATCACATTTTTAAGGACGAGTTTTCTTGTCTGATGAATTATTTCGTGTACGTACTTATACATAGGTGTAAATACCAGGCACTTGAAGAAAGGGAGAAGTATTTCAAAGGCATTCTATCGGACAATATAAAAGAAGGATTAGGTATAACTTAGTTGTCCCATTACTAAACTTACTTTTACACTTCATTTCAGCTACCTCACCCACCCGGACGACGTCAAGACCCTGGTAGAAGGCATCAAGTTCGCCATCAAGCTATCAGAGACGAAGGCGCTGAAGCGATTCGGGGTGCAACTGGACCGGACGCCGGTGCCGGGCTGCGAGAAGATCAAGTTCGGATGCGACGCCTACTGGGAGTGCGCCGTCAGGATGTCCACGGCTCCGGAGAACCACCAGGTCGGGTCCTGCCGCATGGGGCCGCGTGGTGACCCTGATGCAGTCGTCGACCCGTTGCTACAGGTACTATTATTATTATTATTGGTTTTGGGCCTTTATTTGCGCCAGCTCGACCAGGTTTGATCTATTGTGGCAGCCCTTGTCTTTAGAGTTCACTGCTTAGTCCCGTTGAGTCTATAAATTTCCAGATTCTTTGGAGCGTGATATCTGCTATCTCATCCGGGTGCATGATGTGTCGCCCGAGATGGATATACAGGTACTATGTTTGTACAATAGAACAGCTTTGGTGCTTTGCGAGGCTACTGGGAGTGCGCCGTGAGGATGTCCACGGCTCCTGAGAACCACCAGGCGGGATCCTGCCGCATGGGACCGCGTGGCGACCCTGACGCTGTTGTCGACCCATTACTACAGGTATGAACATAATATTGAACTGCTTTGCTATGTTGTTCTCTTCACGAGGCTATTGGGAGTGCACCGTCCGGATGTCCACGGCTCCGGAGAACCACCAGGCCGGGTCATGCCGAATGGGGCCGCGTGGCGACCCTGATGCATTCGTCGAGTTTTGTTGCTTAGTGAAGCCTACAGAGAGTGCGTGGACTCCATGGCACCTGAGAACCACCAAGCCGGCTCCTGCCGCATGAGGTGACGATGATGCCTTGGTTGACCCACTGCTACAGGTATTAGCGTAATATTGAACTGCTTTGCTATGTTGTTCCCTTCACGAGGTTATTGGGAGTGCACCATCTGGATGTCAACGGCGCCGGAGAACCACCAGGCAGGGTCCTGCCGCATGGGGCCGCGTGGTGACCCTGATGCTGTGGTCGACCCGCTGCTGCAGGTATGCAGTACTATAGTAGCTTAGTTACTTCGTGACAGCTACTGGGAGTGCACTGTGAGGATGTCCACAGCTCCGGAGAATCACCAGGCAGGCTCCTGCCGCATGAACCACCCGCCGAGTTGACTAGTCTTGCCACGCGCTGAGTTTTTATCGGCGCCGATAAACCAAGAAGTTTCCCATCAGGACCTAGTTACTTAATCTAGGACCGCGTCCTATGGCAGACCCACAACTGCACTCATTTAGACTATGCTCACTAGTTTCCAGACTGTTTTTGTATTGCTGTTTATTTCCAAATGACTGACAATGTTTTTGCTACTTTTACTAAGGGTTTTTCCCCAAGACCCTTAATAGGTAGTCCCACATCTTTTGAGTTTCTCTTAGGCCGGGTTCCTACTATGCCGGACCGGCATTTCTGCCGGAAACCGGACACCGGACAAGGGTGTTCACATTACATCGGATCACCGGATCCGAAATCCGAGCCGAATGAAGTGCGGGGAGCACGGGCGGGGCGGGGTGGGCCGCAACTCGTTCACATTACTCCTAGGGGCCCTAGGAGTACCGGACCGGAGTAGGTAATTTACCTACTCCGGTCCGGTGATTTTGCCGGCATTTTGTAGCGACAAAACGCTCGGTAAAAATGCCGGGCTCGGCGAAAAAGCCGGATCCGGGATAATGAGTGACCAGCTTCATACAATTTGTACCGCCGCTAAGCCTTCCGGCGATTTTACCGGACCGGGAGATTTGCCGGTCCGGCATAGTGGGAACCCGGCCTTAGTAGTAGGGAATTGGGTTCTCTGGCTCACGGTCGTTCAACATAATCGGAGTTTTAGTTTTCAGTCTAAGTGAATCGTTCAACTATAGAGCGCTCTCGAGAGGCGCTTTACAGCGCCTCTTAAGCGCGCAACGAGTTGACTGATTCACCTAGACTGAAAACTAAAACTTCGATTATGTTGAACGACCGCGATCCAGAGAACCCAATTCCCTATTATCACACTCACAAACTAGATTAGTGTATACCCTAGTACCTCAGTAGTTCTAAGCTTTCAGTGAACGTAATAGTAAAACTTTTAAGACAACTAAGTGAACCTATGAGCTGATCTATGCATACTATGAGTAATATATTGAAAACTACATTAGTAACTGATATTAGGATAGTTATTAGCTTTCAGAAAGAGTTAATAGTAAAACTCTTAAGACACCAGTGTGGTAGTTTCATGAGGTGCAGAAGATGAGTATACCTAGGTAGGTTAGTAAAACTATTCTTAGGTACTATGTATGTAGTTTGAAAACTAAAACTTCTTCTATTTAAGACTACAATTCAGAACTCGAATTATATTATTTCCAAATATTGCAAACTTTTATCATAATTACAAATAAATAAATAAAACAGCAAAGTAAAACTAATAAATATTTATTGTAGGAGTTTTTACAGATGTCAAAATAATATTAAAAATACTTATCACTTGCATTACACATTTTCTCACTCATTTTATCAATTATTTCACGGGCAGCTTGGTATATTTCATCCTTAAAAATGTTTTGAACGATATGCTGTCCACATATTTCAGCGTTACATTTACAAACTGGTCCTTCGCTTTTAAACTGGTCTGCATCATAAATTTCTAATTTGATAACTTTTCGCCCAACGGCAGGAATTTTGATGTACGAATATGTTTCGTTTTCTTTTGTTCGCTTTCTTGATGCACCCGATCCTTCAGCAACTTGTTTCCCATAATTTTCTTGCACTTGATTAGGTACATTGAAATTGAACAGAGACTCGGAATCCTGAAATTAAGAACAAATACGTTCACATAAAAATGCTTTTCATTAGAATTAAGTTCACAAAGTTTGATTTGCATTGAACTTACCGACATTTTTGTTATGATCTTGATTTAGCTCTACTCGTACAGATAGGTGCCTGCAAGTACGTGTGACTATACCTGACAATATTTTGAGACTAATAAAATATTGACGAAGTGGTATATTACTTACATATTCTTATTGTTTCTACAACATTACTCACATATAAACTGTTACTCTTTGTAAATCTGTTGCAAGGTACCTAAGTGGTAACCTACTTCTTTCAAATTTATCATCCCATATTCTATAAAATAAATTAAACACACGAGGAAAGTCATATGATAATACTAGTATAGTAAAGATATCGATTATCTTTCTAATAAGGAAATTTTGCTGACATGCACCACGCGCTGCGAAGATGCGCACACTCTCTCACGAATACCATATCGAGTAAGGTTCCTACGTCTTACAACAAACCTCCACTAATGCACATCCTGAAACTATTTATAGATCTTGACCCGTTGCCCCCCAATCATTTGTGCATATTATTTTGTGTGTGAGATCAAGTGAGCGAGTTTTCAACTAACTTCAGTTTTTAAATATAAGAGTTTTAAAAGTTTTATTTCTTAGCATCGCGATAAAACATTCTATAGGCTCCTAATCAACCAATAGATATGAAAATTAATACCAAGAAGCAAATTACTTTTATAGGAGAGTTGTAAATTTAACTACAAACACCCATCCATGGTCCGCCTAACTAAAGTTAAAGTTATATTTTATAATTTTCTACGATTAACGGGACTTTATCAATGTAATAAAAATGAAAAAGTAACATATTATTAGAAATATATGGAATTAATTAGTCTTAGCTCACTAACACTTACTTAAGTTTGTCATACAAAGGCACAACTCCAAATTGGACCACAGTCGCGGGGGCCGGATTCGACAAATATCGGCATGTCTCTGATTCAGCCCTTCTAGCGGAAAGATAGACGAAAGTATGGAAGGGGCACAAAATGTAGAACTCGTTTATCTGATCATTGTTTTCGATTTCTGTGAAAGCCATCTTGTAGAACTGACGAAAATGTGCCTCTCTAGTACAAAAAGTAAAAAACCAAAAATTTTGAGTTGTGCCCCTATATTATTAAGGGTGCGATATAGTTGAACGATGGTAGCGCCCCCCTGTCATTGAGTTTGGTGGGACAGTTCAGCGTGGGTCATCTATACATGTGACGCCCAATGAAAGCGTTGGAAAAACTTAAAAATAACATTAAAATAGAGAATTATTATCACAATCAAAATCAAAAATCAAAATTTTCTTTATTTGTTTAGACTAATAAATAGTTCTTACAAATCGTCATTTTGCTCTTAAGGAGCCTCTACATGTCTCATAATCTTTTTACCCTTTTTTTTTTTTTTTCGGTGGTAAAAATGCATTGAGTTGCATACCCGCCACTGTGGTCAGGCGGCGGGTTATGTGGGGCTCTCCCCTCTAGAAGGGAGGGGCCTACCCACTAAAAATCCACCATCTCCGTCTCTAATTATTTATTGCATGTCACATAGGTTGATAGAACATAATTTTGTACATGTGACGCCCAGTGAAAGCGTTGCAAAATCTTAAAAATAACATTTAAATAGAGAATTATTATGATTCATTTTGTTGATAGTTTAACTTTGCCCTGGGGCAAACTGGACCTTCACTGGTTGGGTTTTTATTCTCCTTTTTTTTTCTTAGCTGATTAATTTCGTTGCGGTTCCAATGATAGTTTAATTTTCTCACGAGACTGACCTTTATTTGGTGATCAAGCAGTAGATCCTGAATGCACAGGAATTGATTTGGATTTTGGAGAACTGTGTCGTCACTGATGGCTAGAAGTTATCTCTTGGGTTTAACTGATCGGATGACAAGATTCCAGACAAATGCAAAAGTAGTTATGTCTCGTCCTAAGGCGTGCTGAGACATATAAAAGCTTAAATAAGGGCCTTAAAGTGATACACGCAAAGTAGAGAAAATCACATAACAAATAAAGTTGAGAAAAAAAACCACTATGCAAGAAAAAGAAGTGCTCAAGTTAAGAATAAGAATAAGTTAAGAAAAAAATATCAAATTTTGCACAAACAATGTTTGCAGGCGCCCTACCCACTCGGCAACCATGGCGGCATCTCGAACGTGCTAACGGCCAGCGACTCGCAGCAGCAGCCCTCGTGGCGGCCCTGGGCCTGACATCAACATGGTGTCTATGCCCCGCCAATATAAAGCCACGATAGCCGAGCGGAGAAGGGCTCGACTTGCCGACTCGTGGGGGTCGAATACCACCGCTCGACTATTGTGGTGAGCCCACTCGTGACACAAGCATTAGCTTAGCACGAGGGGCTAACGGGACTATTAGTAATTTGTGCAATACAAATTAGTAATATTCTTAAAAAAGTTAAAAATATAGCTCTATTCCTATGACTATTGTCGGAAACCATCAGAAACATTTCAGGTCTCTTTCTAACATGAAAGAAAATCTTTATGCTTTTTACGTAAAGAAATCGAGCCAATTATTACGAATTGCCTCGGAAGTTTTAAAAAAAGCTCTTACTTTTAAAGTCTTACCTTGAGTGTACAATCCCTAAAAATTGGGTTAAATTCATTCAAGTTCAACGTTCTATTAATAAATATGCTGCTAAAAAAACAGAAGTTTACGTAAGTACTTATAGGGGAAAAAGCCCTATCGTACAATTTAGTAAATCTACTTAATAAATTACCGACTAAAATCACTCCTAATTAATAAGTTAGTTTAAGTTTCTGCCCCGAATGCCTGCGGGGCGGTCGTGATAACTTTAGTTACCATTGTAGATGTACTGTATCTTTAGTTTAATGCGTATCCGCGTCGAACTGTACAAATTAGTATTTATTAAGTTACTGCCTTTAATAATACTCTTATAGGTAAGTTATAAATAAGTTTTTTTATAAATACGACCATTATACAAATAAGAAGTTAAATCGGAAACTATTTTCTATGTTATTTTATAAAAAAAATATTATTTTGAATAAAATTGTGTTTACTTTCTATGATAAGTTCCTAACGTAAAAGACATACTACAGAAGTATCTAAATAATTAAAATAAAACGACGGTTTGGCTACTAGAATTGTTTATTAAAAGTATGGTTACGAAGCATTTGATAAATAACTACCTACCTACACATTCATTGTAAGTGTTACAGTGAGAACTCTTTGCCAGTTAAATTACTTAACTGATTTACTTCACAGCTTTCATAAACAAATAAATAATAAATATCCTTGGATATTTTTACACTACGCTTCTAGTCCCAAACTAAGCAAAACTATGGGTACTAGACAACGGATATAAACATATTTAAATTCTTTTTTTTACTACCAACTCGCCTTTTTAGAAATCATTGGGGGAGGCCTATGTTCAGCAGTGGACGTCCTATGGCTGACAGAAATGATGACGATTTACTTCAAAGGCTAGAACATTTCGGTAAAGTTAGTTTAGTGGTGCAAACAAAGCTTCTGATGCCCGTTTTCACCATCAATCCCTAATTTTTAAGTAACCCCTTTGAAAACAAAATTCCTGTTATGTATTACCATAGGGGTCACTTTAAATTAGGGATTGATGGTGAAAACGGGCATGAGTCTACCAAAAAGACTAACTGAAACCCTAGTCAAATCAAAAGCAGTTTTAACTGGCAAAGAGATTCGACTGTACACTGTAATGCCGCAAGTACACTATGCGGAAAATTGTTCAAGACGAAGCGCTTAGCCCGCACACCAAAGTATGAGACCGTGGTATGAGCGACGCACGGGTGGGGAAAGGAGAAAGTAACCGAGATGGTGTTCACACTATTACGTCTTGGCCAACTTCCCGATAGTGTACTTGCGCCATATCATACACGTACAAGCACATTTACGTTACACATTCACGCGTTGACGTCCAAACATTAGCCCGTTCCTATACAAAAAAACTTTACATGTTGCCTTTAAATTCAACTGTAAAACAAAATAAATAGTTTTTGTCTATAGGAACGAGCCCATGGTACACAAATTTATTTCAGTGGACATTTAAAAGGATAAGTACCTAATTTTTATCACTTGAAGATAATTATCTAAGTTGGTGAATATTGAGCACCTAAAATTATTGATAAATTATCAATCGTTTTTAATATTTTACAGTAGATTATAATAAAGATGTAAAATTATTGAGTGTTATAATGCCGGCATCGTAGTATGTATGTAACACGAGTCTTCTGTTATGCTCGTATCATCACGTTGATGTCACAGAATNATAGTCTAGCTTTGAGAACTGCGTTGTCACTGATGACTAGAAGTTATCCCTTGGATTTTACTGATCGGATGACGAGATTCCAGACAAATGAGAAAGTAATTGTGTCTAGTCCTAATTAGGCCTAAGGCATGCGAAGGGTTAAAAGTCTTAAAGTGAGACACGCAAAGTAGAGAAAAATACATAATGTGACTGATATTAACCGATTGTCCCAGACGGCATTAATTAATGTCATAACAATTGATTATCTATTGTGTCTAGATTCGCGGAGCTTGAAGGATTAAAGTTGAGAAAAAAACCACTTTGCAAGAAAAAGAAGTGCTCAAGTTAAGAATAAGAATAAGTTAAGAAAAATTATCAAATTTTTGCCAAACAATGATTGCAGGCGCCGTACCCACTCGGCAACCATGGCGGCATCTCAAACGTGCTAACGGCCAGCGACTCGCAGCAGCAGCCCTCGTGGCGGCCCTGGGCCTGACATCAACATGGTGTCTATGCCCCGCCAGTATAAAGCCACGATAGCCGAGAGAAGGGCTCGACTTGCCGACTCGTGGGGGTCGAATCCCACCGCTCGACTATTGTGGTGAGCCCACTCGTGACACAAGCATTAGCTTAGCACGAGGAGCTAACGGGACTATTAGTAATTTGTGCAATACAAATTAGTAATATTCTTAAAAAAGTTAAAAATATAGCTCTATTCCTATGACTATTGTCGGAAACCATTAGATACATTTTAGGTCTGTTTCTAACATGACGAAAGAAAATCTTCCTGCTTTTTACGTAAAGAAATCGAGCCAATTTTTAAGAGTTGTCTCGGAAGCTTTTAGAAAAGCTCTTACTTTCAAAGTGCCACCACCACTTATAACCTTGTGTACAATCTCAAAAAAATTGGGTTAAATTCATTCAAGTTCAACGTTCTATTAATAAATATGCTGCTAAAAAAACAGAAGTTTACGTAAGTACTTATAGGGAAAAAAGCCCTATCGTACAATTTAGTAAATCTACTTAATAAATTACCGACTAAAATCACTCCTAATTAATAAGTTAGTTTAAGTTTCTGCCCCGAATGCCTGCGGGGCAGTCGTGATAACTTTAGTTACCATTGTAGTTGTACTGTATCTTTAGTTTAATGCGTATCCGCGTCGAACTGTACAAATTAGTATTTATTAAGTTACTGCCTTTAATAATACTCTTATAGGTAAGTTATAAATAAGTTTTTTTATAAATACGACCATAATATAAATAAAAAGTTAAATCGGAAACTATTTTCTATGTTATTTTATATAAAAAAAAATATTTTGAATAAAATTGTGTTTACTTTCTATGATAAGTTCCTCACGTAAAAGACACACTACAGAAGTATCTAAATAATTAAAATAAAACGACGGTTTGGCTACTAGAATTGTTTATTAAAAGTATGGTTACGAAGCATTTGATAAATAACTACCTACCTACACAATTACACATTCATTGTAAGTGTTACAGTGAGAACTCTTTGCCAGTTAAATTACTTGAGACATTTACTTCAGAGATTTCATAAAGGTAGCAGGAAGGTGCTGGATGCAGGTTGCCACCAACCGGCCTTTGTGCAATTCATTGGGGGAGGCAGAGAGTTCAGCAGTGGACGTCCTATGGCTGACAGAAATGATGACGATTTACTTCAAAGGCTAGACCATTTCGGTAAAGTTAGTTTAGTGGTGCAAACAAGCTTCTGATGCCCGTTTTCACCATCAATCCCTAATTTTTAAGTAACCCCTTTGAAAACAAAATTCCTGTTAATATGTATTACCATAGGGGTCACTTTAAATTAGGGATTGATGGTGAAAACGGGCATGAGTCTACCAAAAGGAGTGACTGAAACCCTAGTGAAATCAAAAGCAGTTTTAACTGGTAAAGAGATTCGACTGTACACTGTAATGCCGCAAGTACACTATGCGGAAAATTGACCAAAACGAAACGCTAGCCCGCACACCGAAGTATGAGCGACGCACGGGTGGAGGAAGGAGAAAGTAGATGGTGTTCACACTATTACGTCTTGGCCAACTTCCCGATAGTGTACTTGCGCCATATCATACACGTACAAGCACATTTACGTTACAAACATTAGCCCGTTCCTAAACAAAAAAACTTTTCATGTTGCCTTTAAATTCAATTGTAAATAGACAAAATAAATAGTTTTTGACTATAGGAACGAGCGCATAGATCACAATTTCATTTCAGTGGACATTTAAAAGGATAAGTAAGTACCTAATTTTTATCACTTGAAGACAATTATCTAAGGTGGTGAATATTGAGCACCTAAAATTATTGATAAATTATCAATTGTTTTTAATATTTTACAGTAGATTTATAATAAAGATGTAAAATTATTGAGTGTTATAATGCCGGCATCGTAGTATGTATGTAACACGAGTCTTCTGTTATGCTCGTATCATCACGTTGATGCCACAGAATAAATGTTGAACTCTATTACAAGCGAATAAGGTTCAATCTTATGATTATTTGAATACAGATGCACTACATAAATTATATTAAAACAACTTGGGTAATTGACACCAACCGCAGTTCATTTTTAAAAAAGCAATTAAGAGAAATTACACTAAATATTCTCAGATTTTTTCTTCACAATGTTCTATCGCAGATAGAATACAAGACTTAACTCAGACCTAACCAAATACAACCCTTTCTAGGCATTAAATGATCAAAAACTCTAAAAGGTGACAATTATAGATCGTTTCATCCGCGAAGACGTGCCCACCAATTTTTGGTCTCGGTCGCGCGGGGTGCGGGGCGTTTGATCCGAGCAATCCGAGCGTCATTATTGTAGTGTGCGTGTGCACTCATGGATGATTTAGCGTGTACCGATAACACTCAAACATTAGCGGAAGAATGGTGGGGCGCGTCTTCGTGGATGAAACGATCTATAATAATTGGTGGTGTCAAATGCCCATTAGTGAAAAGTTCACAATCAGCAGTTACACTGCTACAAATTATAATAATAACATCAACGTTTACGATATTACAATAAAACATTTAATACAGTAAAATACACGAGCTTACACATTTTGATTAAAGTATCACTATCTACTAGTTAATTCATAAAATACAACACGAACCTCTACAGTAAATGCATGACAAGTTGCGGTTATAATTGCTTAAAGACTATACGAGTAGTATATTAGAAAGATATAACATTTATTCTTATTTTATTACAAACCTGAAGAGTTTATCACGCCTCCTTAGAAAAAATAAAATCACAACTTACGAATTGGATCTCATTGCGATCGCCACGTCTATCACACTTCTCGCTCACTCTATATACGGTGTAAGCGAGATGTGTATAGCTGTCGCGTTCTCAAACAAAAATAATTAAATACGATTGCACGCGTCACAATAACACATCTAATGGCAATATTAAGATGAATAAGTTTTACATTATGTATGTTGTGGGTAAACATATATTTTTACCAACAATAAGGTACTTTTATCACCTAATGACAACAGAGGCAGGCTCAAGGCATAGTATAATAATGTGCTCAAGGTTATTAGACTAAAGTTTCTTATATCTATCTTTCTCTCATGGAACTACCGCTAAGGACTAATTTATTGACTATGAAAGTTTAGCATGATCCAATTTATTACCCTAATGAGAAAATGGGATTTCTGTGGTAGGTCGTTTTATCTCAATACACTTGAAATTGTTTTCTTATACAATCAACCAAATGAGAAATGAAATGCGCACGAATTAAAAAAATATTAAAAAATTATAAACGATTTTGATATGTCAATTTGTGACTAGCAAACACTTAACAGAGCCATACAATGAGTGTTGAAATACTAATACCAAATTTTTTTTACTGTGCACCTGTCGACGTCTTAATATTTATTTTATTCATTATGGCTTAGTGCGATTTGCACATGTAAATAGCCAGTTTCGAGTAAATTACATTATAATATACTTTCAGATTATACAAATATTATGATATAATGGAAGATATTATACGCGTCAGTTGTTTGACATTTCATATGACACGAGGGGCAGTGGTTGCGCTCAAAACAACTTGGGTAATTGACACCAACCGCAGTTCATTTTTAAAAAAGCAATTAAGTGATTATTACACTAAATATTCTCAGATTTTTTCTTCACAATGTTCTATCGCAGATAGAATACAAGACTTAATTTAATGTAAAATATTATACGCGTCAGTTGTTTGACATTTCATATGACACGAGGGGCAGTGGTTGCGCTCACGATGGCGATAGCTGTGTCAGTCACAATATCACCAAGCCCTCATTCAATTATTAACTAACTCTTAATTATCTAATAAAATATACATTCATGCCAATTTCTACAATATGTAATTAAAATAATGCAAACGTTTGATTTTTTATTGCATGACAGCTTATTGAAGATCCCAATTCTGATTACAATAAAATTGTTTGCGTTATTTCAATTACATGTTGTACCTATGTAAAATATAAATAAATATTCTGGTCCAGCGACTTACCGATAAAGTATATAAAAAATTCTTGCCTTTCAAAATATGTACTTTATCTACAGTAAAATTACATCGCTAAGTTACTTATTTGGAATTGAATTACCTATCACCTAATGAGTAACCTCATATCACCTTGGTACCGCATAGGTCGCGCAGCGAGAGTTGGGGCGACGAGCGATCTGAGGGCTTAGTGTGAGTTTATATCAAACGCACTCACTAGTGAGCTCGTTTCAAAAATATGTGAAAATTTTAGTTCTCTAAAGTTTCCGCCAGGGGCGCTGTACAATCCGTCATACATTTAATGACATTTTTTTACGCGCTCACTAGTGAACACGTTTGATATAAACTCACACTCAGCCCTCAGTACGCACTTCTGTATATGCTTCTTTAAAAAGTGCTTTGTCTCGCTTGCACACATTTATCATAAGCGAGGTAAAGAATTTGAATTTAGTGTATTCGATAGTTGAACTTGAAGTGTAATAATGTTGTCTTCTGTATTGAGATATTACATCCATGTGGGTGCCATGTTGTTCACCTTAACTTTCGCTGCGCGACTTGTGCACAGTTATGCGTCCATCGCAGCAACAAATGAAGACACTGAGCATTTGTCTTTGCAGCCGTATGATTTAGAACGTTGTTTAGCAACGTGAAATAACTGTCGAGTGAGACACTTGGGTACTTGTGAGCGAATCCTGGACGGATGATTGGCATCCTCATCGCAAAACGAAAATTTACTACCACACGACAAAGAACTTTACTGCTATGGTAATGAGTAATGATTCGGATTATCAACCACATTAAGATACAGCATATAATTCAGCTTGCATTGCTGCGAAGATCGCATACCTTCGCTGCTATCGTTGCATAAGCTAAATATTTTAATTTGTGTAAAGATGATTCAAAATCACAATATTGATAAAGTATATTAAAATAGTAAAGAGTAGATATATTTTTCACACAATAAGAATGTTGAGAGCATACTATGTTTACCACCAAATATTTTTATCACTATAATGTTACGCTTAAATTTTAATATGGTTTTTTCAGCTGCATATTCCTATTAAATTAAGATTTTTTTTTATATTTCGATTTTTTTCTATTAATTAAAATTTAATCACCATTGTGCCACAATATGCATTTAGAACTTACGTTAATGTCAAATATCTGTTTATTAATGCTTACTTACTATATACTGCACTAACTTATATGAAAGTTATACATTTTTATACTCTTGCCAAATGTCTTTATGATGTTTACTATACTATACTAACCTATTAACTGGACCAATACATTTCTATTAACTTTATCGTTGGCCCGAATAATAGTCACAATATTTCACTACATTTAATACCATGATGACTGGCTCTTATTACTAACATCTCTTCCTGGTGATCACTGGCGATGACACTAACTAAAGGCTCAGTCACACGGCCAGCCTATATGACAGAGTACGTAACAGCTTGGCGCGTTTTTCTACGCAAAGTGACAAAACTGTCAAATATAATTACGTCAAAACGCGTCAGACACTGTCTGTGTGTCTGAGGCTTAAGTGAAAACTCCTGCGAAATCAGACTTGTGAGAATAATAATATTATTGTAACTGGGATCTTATTTTATTGCACTTCACCACCAGCCGCTCAGTACATTTGAGCCTACTTAAGCTCACTCGTAGTTTATAGTGTAGAATATTGAGTTTCTGATGGTGAAATAAAACTACTGCTCGGCGCATTTTAGTCCAGCGCACGAGTATGCGAGTGGGAGTGTAGCTAGAGCTGAAGGAATGAGGGTTTTCGCGATTGAAAAATCCGCCAGATGGCAATACGTAGACGGGAGGTCCAAATGCTGCATGATTGGTGGATTTTGACATATCTGTCAATGTCAATGTCATGTCAAAAATAACTGAAAGCGCGTAAAGCGAAAACCCTCATTCCCGAATTCCCTCGCGAGTTGGCGTTTCGTTATAGTGTGTTATCATTGACGTTTTTGAGGTCGGTGAGACGTGCGACAGTCACAGCTCATTACTGAAGTCGGGTGGCGTGCTGAGGTCAGTTTCTATCGAGAGGTCAAGCCGGGTGCGCAGGGGTCACGGCTAGTGTCGTCGGGTCGGGGGTCGCAGCGTTTCTAACTTGACGCTGTGAATACGGAGGAGCGCGGGGGTCACAGGTCCTCTTGGTCTCGGTCGGTGGGGCCGCGGGGGTCACAGTTTTTCTCGATCATACCGGGTGTGCGCAAGGGACAGTTTATCTTGGATGAGCGGGCGACAGCTTGCGTCGTCGGGTCGGGGGTCACAGCTGGTGTCTAGAGGCCGGGGGCCGCGGGGGTCACATTTTTTCTCGATCGTACCGGGTGTGCGCAGGGGTCAGTATATCTTTATGGGGTCATAGCGGTCACAGCTTGCGTCGTCGGGGGTCACAGCTAGTGGCTGAGGGCCGGGGGCCACGGGGTCACAGCTCGACGTTGTTGAGGTTGGCGCCGGAGTGCGTGGGCAGCGCGGCGGCGAGCAGCAGCGTGCCGATGGGCGNCTATCGTTGGCCCGAATAATATTCACAATATTTGACTACATTTAATACCATGATGACTGGCTCTTATTACCTAACATCGATTCCCGGTGATCGCTGGCGATGACACTAAAGGCTCAGTCACACAGCCAGAGCGTATATGACTTTACTACGCAAAGTGACAACTGACAAATTGGATAATGCGTCAAAACGCGTCAGACACTGCCTGTGTGTCTGGCTTAAGTGAAAACTCCTGCGAAATCAACCTTGTCACAATTGTAACTGGGATTTTATTTTATTGCACTTCACCACCAGCCGCTCCGTACATTTGAGCCTACTTAAGCGTATTCGTAGTTGTTGTGGAATATTGAGTTTCCGATGGTGAAACAAAGTTAAAGCTCGGCGCATATTAATCCAACGCACGAGTGTGAGTGGGAGTGTAGCTGGAGTTGAAGGAATTTCCTCGCGAGTTTACGTTTCGTTATAAAGTGTGTGACATCGGCGGGACATCGTGGCACGCGAGATCTGGCACCGACGAGTCGGAGGGTCATAATTGGGTCACGGTTGCTCTTGGTAGACGTCTGTGGGACACGTGGCTGTGACCCACAGTTAGGCGTTGTTGAATACGGATGAGCGCGGGGATCACAGTTTTTCTTGGTTGCGCGTTGGTACGCGGCGGTCACAGCTCACATCGTTAAGGTTATCGACCTTAATGTGAGTTAAAAGCTCGCATTGTTTAACGTTGGATCGGAGCGCAAAAACAACTGGCGTCGTTGAGGTCAGTAAGTCGCATAGGGGTCACGATTTCTCTCAGTAGACGGCAGTGGGAGACGTGGGAGTCACAGGAGTGCGAGAGTCACAGCACGCGGCGGTATACAGGTCACAGCTGGCGTCGCGGTGTCGTTTTAAGGTCGGTGGGGCGCGCAGGGGTCACAGTTTTTCTCGATTATACCGGGTGTGCGCAGTGGTCACAGCTTGCGTCGTCGGGGGTCACAGCTAGTGTCTGAGGGCCGGGGGCCACGGGGTCACAGCTCGACGTTGTTGAGGTTGGCGCCGGAGTGCGTGGGCAGCGCGGCGGCGAGCAGCAGCGTGCCGATGGGCGCGCAGGCGGCGTCGGGGGTCACAGCTTGCGTCGTCGGGGGTCACAGCTAGTGTCTGAGGGCCGGGGGCCACGGGGTCACAGCTCGACGTTGTTGAGGTTGGCGCCGGAGTGCGTGGGCAGCGCGGCGGCGAGCAGCAGCGTGCCGATGGGCGCGCAGGCGGCGTCGCGCTCGCGCAGCTTGCACATCTCGTGGCGAAGCTTCTCTAGCACCGCGTAGTTGGGCTCGTTGTGACGCGCCTTGTCCTGGGGAGAGCACGAATGCAAATTATAAATGAAATCCGAAGTCGAGTTGGAATCCAAACTCGAGTTGGCATCCTAACTCGGTCTGGAATCCAAACGCGGGTTGGAACCTAAATTCGAGCTGGAATCTATATTCAGTTTGGAATTCTGACTAGGACAGGAATCCAAACTCGAGCTGGAATCCGGACTCGGACTGAAAGCCAAACTCGGACTGGAATCCTAACTCGGACTGGAATCCTAACTCGGACCAGAATTCTAATTCAGACTGGAATCCTAACTCGGACTGGAATCCTAACTCGGACCAGAATTCTAATTCAGACTGGAATCCTAACTCGGACTGGAATCCTAACTCTGGCTGGAATCATGCTGGAATCCGAACTTGGGAAGAGTGGAATCCGAACTAGGGTGAACTCCAAAGTCGGATTGGAATCCGAACACGGTGTGGATAGCCACGATAGCCGAACGGTGAAGGGGTCGGAGTGGCCGACTCGAGATACGAGGAACGCGGGTTCGAATCCCACCGACGCTCGACTATTGTGGTGAGCCCACTCGTAACACAAGCTTATTTAGCTTACCACGAGGGGCTAACGGGACTATTAGTAATTTGGGCAATACAAATTGCTAATAATCTTTAAAAAAAAAAATCGAACTCGAGCTGCAATCTGAAATTGAGCTGGAATACACACTCGTGCTGGAATCCAAAATCGTTCTGGAACCCAACTTAATCTGGAATTCAAACTCGAGCTGGAATCTAGGTTGTCGTTACCTGTAGCAGCGTGATCTGCTGCTCCTCCAGCTTCTTCTCCTTGCAGCTCTTGACGGAGCGCGAGCCGTACAGCCGCAGCAGCGAGCCCCAGGACCTGACGTGGGGGTGCAGCGCCTATGGGAAAGATAAAACAAATCACTTTGGATATAGCGCACTCCTTTATAATTTGGTCGGCTTATAGAACAATTCCTCATATNAGCTGGAATTAACTCAGGTTGGGATCTGAATTCAAGCTGAAATCCAAACTTGAGTTGGCATCCTGACTCGGTCTGGAATCCTAACTCGGACTAGAATTCTAACTCAGACTGGAATCCTAACTCGGACTGGAATTCTAACTCAGACTGGAATCCTAACTCGGACTGGAATTCTAACTCAGACTGGAATCCTAACTCGGACTGGAATTCTAACTCAGACTGGAATCCTAACTCGGACTGGAATCCTAACTCTGGCTGGAATCTGAAATTGAGCTGGAATACACACTCGTGCTGGAATCCAAACTTGTTCTGGAACCCAACTTAATCTGGAATTCAAACTCTTAACTGGAATCTAGGTAGGCGTTACCTGCAGCAGCGTGATCTGCTGCTCCTCCAGCTTCTTCTCCTTGCAGCTCTTGACGGAGCGCGAGCCGTACAGCCGCAGCAGCGAGCCCCACGACCTCACGTGCGGATGCAGCGCCTATGGGAAAGATAAAACAAATCACTTTGGATTGGGTTTTTGGCAAATAAACGTTTTGAATTGAATTGAATTGGATATAGCGCACTCCATCCTCTTTCCCAATACGAGGCCAAATTATATCTCTGGTTAATTACGAAGGTTGTACTCCTCGATGAAGATAAAAACGCATTTTAACTAATAATACTAATTTGTTGTGAAAAGAGTACAATAATATGTATTTAAAAAAAATGTCTACTCCATGTCGTCAACAATATGGTATAGTTTAGCTTGTCTTAGAGGCAAGCACCGTTTCATTTATACGTCATTGATTATTGTAGTACAGAATAATAATAAGTACTACGTACAGAAGTTTTACTTCGCTAAGGTATTTAAAAAAAATATGCTCAATGTCATTAACAATATGGTGTCATTTAGCATGTCTCAAGAGTCAAGCACCATTTTGTTGACAAACGTCAGTGATCGGCACTGCGCCGAAGCTATAGGGCTGACTTCGGTAAAATGATGTGACGTGAGGTGCCAAACTGCGGAAAATAGCGGAGGAAATACATGATTTACCATGAATTATCATGAATAATATTAACTTCTTATTTACCTCTCAGTGTCTTGAGGCAACTTAAAAAAGTACATTCTGTGTTTTTATTATTATTTAGGCAGTTAAATACTGCACAGTATTTAGTACACCATTTTCTTTATTATCTTCCATCATACACAAGAATACGCGTGCGTGAATCAATGTTCGCTCGTATGTGAGGCCTTGTCGAATAGTATCCTGTAGGTGGGCCATCGTGCGTGTTTTGTTTTCGATGTAAACTCGCGGCGATGAACAGGCCTGATATTACTTCAAATGTATCACACTAATTTCTACTCCGCAACTCGTGAGGCCAGCGTGGGAAATGTAGGCCAAGTCCTACATTCACCTCTGATTAATAAGAAGGTCGTGCTCCTCGATGATGATAATCACATTTCATCTGATAAAAGAGTGAAGAGTGCAACCACAAAATAAAAATATGAACAAATTTTTCTTTGCGAAGGTATTTAAAAACATGTCAAATAAATGTCGACAATAATATGGTGTAATTTAGGTTATCTCAGAATCGAGCACCGTTTCGTTTACATACGTCAGTGATCAGTACTGTGCGGATGCAACAGGGCTGACTGCCACAAGAAACTACTATGTCACCATCTAGTGCACTACACGCGTATTTTTTCTTCTTTCCATAGCGAATATTTTTTTTACAATGTGTGATGAATACGTGCGCGTACGTCACTATACACGCTCATGAATGTCTTGTGGATTAAACATCCCAGGAGAGTACTCCGTGCGTGTTTTGTTTTCGATGCCCACTCGGGGAGATGAACAGCCCTGATGAATAGCCTGTTGCTGTCGCGCTCGCACACTCACTGCGGGCGCCCGTCGCACAGTCGCGACAGCAATATAATTACGCGCGAGCGATAAGGATGGGTAGCTTGGGGTCATTGGACAAAATTCTACGTGCTCACAGACCGGGCTTTATGACTATAAACAGGAGGAATCTTACTTGTAGTATGGCCTGTGAGGCGCGCTGCTTGGCGGTCTTCTTGTTCTTGCAGACGACCGTGGCGCTGTGCTTGCCCACCTTCATCGTCAGCTCGATCTTCTGGAACTCCAGCTTCTTCATCTGCAACCAGACACAAGTATTACAATAATGAACCAGAGATTCTATAGATGTATTTAAAAAGTTTCTAATGCCAGAAAACTTTAGTGGGTGCTTTCTATTAGATATTATAAAAAATAATGGTAACGCAACACTTCTTCAAAATGAGATCACCATCAAATAAATTCTCAATCTTCATCTGACTAATGGCGTCATCGACTGACAGCACCACAACCACAATTCTAAATTGTAATAGAAAAATTGCTATTCTTAGAAAACCTTCAGACAAACTTAGGTCTAAATGGCTGTAATTTCAGAAGTTACGACAAAAACGAACATATTTGGGGCCTATGTAGCTTTAGAGCCCTGTATCGTTGACACAGCAATAGCTACGCCCCTGATTTTTTTTTTATACACCACTAAATTTTTATCACCGAAAAAATTTTAACAGGTTATGTAGAAACGTGTTAAATATTTAAAGCAAAAGAAGAAGAAATGTGTTTCATAAAGTTAATTTTTTTATTAAATTTTCTTTAGTCCGTATTTTACGCGTCACAGCTTTGTCACTCCGCTGCTCGCTAGAGTAGTCGTACGCGCTCGCAAGTTGCATCGATCTATCTGTCTCGCTCACGCTTCGACAACGCTTCCAGTGTTATTATTACATACTTAGCTAACTTAGACCATTTTGAATTCTAATAAGTGTTACATTATCGTACGTAAATAGTGCTAGCGACGCGTGTGTCCATAAATTACCAATTTTAGGAGGAAATTTTGAGTCACTTTATTTAGCTTCTTTTTTTGCACAAATGGGATCAGTATCAATAACTCATTACCCAGAAATTTTTTTTTTTTGGTGATAAAAATTTAGTGGTGTATAAATATCCTTAGACATTTTACACTGCGCTTCTAGTCCCAAACTAAGCAAAGCTTGTACTATGGGTACTAGACAACGGATATAAACATACTTAAGAGCGTTTACGCCGTTTGGCGCAAAAACAGTACTTTTTCAACTCGTTACAATCATTAACCAGTAATACTACAAATATGTTATAGGCATAAATATTTAGGCAATTTCGTCGTCTAAATAGTTAATTGAGAAAATATTGCGATTAGTTGAGTATTCAAGAATTATATCAAGATAAGTCCACACAGGTTTTGTAAATTTCCACTTTAGCGTCAGTTTACAAGCTGAAATTTGTATAAAAATACTGTGAAAACGATTTAACAAACATTTATATCCTATAGCATAGATCCTTAGGCAAATAGTTATCTGAGAAAATTTTTAGATTTAAGCATTTTACAATAAGAAATCACAAATTAAAAAAACGTGAAATACCCAAAAATCAAAGTGATTTTTTCACCAATATTCTTCCTTTATTCAACACAAAAATAGCTTAATACAATAGAAGAATATCTTATCTAAAATATTTACTTTAAAATTTAAAATAATTCATTGTAATTTTTTTTCTATGAGTATTTGAAAACTACTATAAATCGCCACGCACGAATCGTTCAAATTCAGTCCGCCTCGAGGCGTTCCAGAGTGAGGTCACGTCGCTCGGTGCTCTGCTGACATGTGTCACGCGTACGTTGATCTTTGACAGGTAGCTGGACTTTTATAGTGTATCCGCAAAATCTTGGTGGTAGATTTTGCGATCACGTGGTAATTAAAATATTTTATTGTTATTTTTCATTACAGTCTATTTTTACTACAAATTCTATTTCAGACGTAATGAAAAATAAAATTAAGTTATTTTTAGCGATGAAACGAAAACGAATGACGAAAATTTGGAACAGCAAGTTATGTATGTATACCTACTAATATTATAAAGAGGAATAATACTAATAATTTATTTGCCATAAATAGGTGGTTACAGAATAGAAAAAAGAATAGTAAACAGGAAAAGTTTGTTTTGAATAGAACCGATTTGAAAAAATCTCTCACCATTAAAATTCATTTTTTTTTCTGCTGAACATAGGCTGTATAAAATATTCTCAAAATAGTAAAAAACCTTTGATAATTTACTATTTGATAAAGAATTTACGTATTTATTATTGATTAGGACTAATGTATACCATTATTTATAATTATAGAGTCGGTGTTGGAAGATTTGAAGATTTTATAGTTTCTTTGGGCTGTCACTTGACAGCCTGGCACACTTTTACGATGGTGGATCAAAGTATTTTGGTTTGACTATAGAGCGTGAGAACACGCACACAGTCATAATTATTTTAGTGTGAATAAAAATAGCATCGAAATTACCTAAACTTGACATGCCACGCTAGACGTAAACGCTCTTAAATACTTTTTTTGTAAATACATACTTATTATACATAGAAAACACCCAGTCCAATACAAACAAATATGTTCATGCATACAAATGTTTGTACTGTGCGGGAATCGAACCCGCTACCTCCGGAATAGTAGCCCGTTTCGAACCACTACACCAAACGGCTGACTGATTGATTTTTTTGAGAGAGAGAGAGATTGATTCGCTCCCTAGTTACCTCTGTGGAGATGTGTCGGTCGGTGGCGCCGAAGTTGCGCAGCAGACAGGTCCGCAAGATGGCGTGCGGTGACGGCTCGCACGTGGCGGCGCAGAACTCCGTGATGCGTGGGTCCTCGATGCCCACGTAGTCGAAGAACTGGAAGAAGACGGCAAGATCATTGTAGCAGAGCAGGAAAAGAAAGAAAAATAAGATTATTTGGCAGACTTAAACGAGAACAGCCTGTTCTGAACAGACCATTGCAGTCATTGGAGTAAGGTCGTCTTTCATACCACAGTGCGCTTTTCAGATAGACTTGGATGGTTCTTAAGGAAAACCAGGCCGTCCAGGTCTTTTGCTTGGGTTCGTTAGAGAACGCAAACATACTTTTAAACAGGTTAGTTTCCTCACTCGATGTTTCTATTAACCGTAGTTTCACTACGAGATCGAGTCAGATACTAAAGTATCGGATATAACATACAGATTTGCCAACCTGGGGCAGAAGTTTTCAAATGATGATCACAGATCGGAAAACGCAATGTGAACAGGCCACCCGTTGCATTAGGTTGAAGAACAACTGAAGATCGGTGATCGCGGAAAGCACAAGGATACGGGTAGCGTAGGACCGGGCATTGAGGGAAACTGGCGGAGACCCCTTTCCAAAAGTAGTCGTCTTTGGGCTGAAATGGTAATGATGGTGTCTGACCGAGAAGTCTGGCTCCTGCACGCTAGTGCCGGCGTCGAGTTCGTCCTTCATCTTGGGGATGAAGATGCAGACGGAATCTTGGCCTGCCGCTTGTGGAGCCGAGTACGTATGTCCTATTCAAAGATGTGCCACACTGATGCGGTCTGGGGTCTCAAAGTAAACACAGGGGATTTGTATCGATGCGAATTGACCGTTGCGGGCACCAGCAAAGAACATACCGTTGATAGACCGCTGATCGACAATATTGTTCATATTTGATGTGGGCTGCGTTCACTTTAACCTGCCGGGCTAGGATGCACGCCGTGATAAAATCTTATCCATAATTTTAGACAAATGTAGGGGCTTATCGCGTAAAATCGATAAAATGGCGCGATAAAAGCAGAAAAAACTGACCGAGAAGTCTGGCTCCTGCGCGCTGGTGCCGGCGACGAGCTCGTCCTTCATCTCGGGGATGAGGATGCAGACGGAATCTTGGCCTGCCGCTTGTGGAGCCGAGTACGTATGTCTATTCAAAGACCGCAGCAGTGTGGCAGACTGATGCGGTCTGGGCCCTCCGGGATCAGGTCAAAGTAAACGCAGCCTGCATCATGTTCATGCATGAACAACATCGTGCATTTTGTATCTAGATCCAGTCTTCTTATACATATTAAGCGACAACGCGACATGACAAGTTGATAGACCGCTGATCGACAATATTGTTCATATTTGATGTGGGCTGCGTTCACTTTAACCTGCCGGGCTATGATGCACGCCGTGATAAAATCCTATCCATGATTTTAGACAAATGTATGGGCTTATCGCGTAAAATCGATAAAATGGCGCGATAAAAGCAGAAAAAACTGACCGAGAAGTCGGGCTCCTGCGCGCTGGTGCCGGCGTCCAGCTCGTCCTTCATCTCCGGGATGAGGATGTGTATGGAGGCGCGCGCGGCGGCCGACTTGGCCTGCCGCTTGCTGGAGCCGTGCCCCACGCCGTACTGCATGCCGCCGATGTACACCGTCGCTTGGTACGGGGTCGCGGCGTTCTCTGGAAAATATCAAATTATGATTAGGTTGTGAGGTCGTTGAAATACTAAACAGGATAAGCTCAGATCGATCCTAATCCGATATCATCGTGCAACTTTAAACAAGATATTCTGACAAAAAATAACTCGAAGTACCTTACTTTTAGAGTAGGCGCACACCGTTGATTTTTAGTTGGCCGATAGTTGTGCCCGATTTTAATGTGTATGAAGAATCGGCCAAATCGAATCGGCGTAGTGTGCGCACTCCCATACATGCCTATACTGATCAACTGCCCGACTAAACGATCGGCCGACGAAAAATCAACGGTGTGCGCCTACTCTTAGGGTAACACACGAAAGTCTAGACTTCCTTCATACGTGGTGGCAGAAATTCTGTAATCCAGCTGGGGAAAGCACATTAGCATAGTTTGCCTAAACCTGTCAGCCCTAAAACCTTAAAATAAATATTCACTCGGCTGCACACACTGTGTTATAATACGGACTTACCCAGACATAGAATCAATTTTCATTTTACAGAAAAGAGCTGTTCGGGCAATATACGGTCTTAAACCACGTGACTCGCTTAGAGAAGTTTTTAAAGAAATCAATATATTGACTGTGGCTTCGCAATACATATTTGATAACATTATGTATGTCCGTAAACATATACATTTATTTACTAAGAAAAGTGACGTCCACTCATTTAACACGAGACATAAGAATAAACTTGCTGTTCCATCATTTAGGTTGCATAAGATAGGTAATTCATTCTTGGGGAAATGTATTACCATATTTAACAAAATACCACACAACCTTGTCGAATTGCCAATAAACAAATTTAAGATACATATAAAAAATACCCTTATGTCCAAAGGGTACTACAAGGTTCGAGACTATATTGATGACAAGGATGCGTGGTCAGTTCAGTCTGCACATATTTGATGTACTTAAATTTGACTATTCTTACCGTTAGATAATTCCTGGCAATAAGTGGTGACTGAGTTTGTTCCGGCGTTTCTTCTCAGCACTTGCCATATATTTTTTTTTTTTTTTTAAAGATTATTAGTAATTTGTTATTACACAAATTACTAATATTCCCGTTAGCCCCTCGTACTAAGCTAAATATGCTTGTGTCACGAGTGAGCTCACCACAATAGTCGAGCGGCGGCGGGGACCGAACCCGCGTTCCCCGGATCACGAGTCGGCCAGTCCGACCCCTTCACCGTTCGGCTATCGTGGCTTATATGTTTGCATATGCATATGTTTGTCTCGAAGCGCTGGTAGGGCCCAAAAGATAAGGAGACATGTAAAGTGCCCCATAAGGGCTACCTTTTCTTTTTTTATTATTTTCTATTGACGTTCATAAGTGCCACTTGTGGTCTAAACTGAATAAATATTTTTGATTTTTGATTTTTGATGAGCTGAGCAACTATAAAACTCAGATCCTCAACGTTATCATACATACTACAGTCCAACGTTAGAATACACACTATCCCAGCTGCTCAACGTTAGAATACAGTCTCACCTACCTTCCCAACGTTAGAACACAAACTCTCTCACCTGCCCGTTGGAATCCAGACTCGCATAAATCTAGAATCGACTCACCCAGCNAACCGGAACACGAACAAATTTTGCTATTCGTGGACAAATTACTATCCAAATAAAGCTATCTATCCATGTATTTGGTTCCGGGATAGAACGACTTTCAAAAAAAATTTTTGCTGGGGTAACGTTTCAAACATTACCCCAGCAAAATCTGTTTTTTCCTAATAACTTTAAAACTATAATTTGAACGAATTTTGCTATTAGTGGACAAATTTCTGCTCACGATGGACTAATTATCTGCTATACCCTCGACTCTCTAAAGCACAACATTTATAAAAATTTTGCTGCAGTAATGCACTCCATCGCGACGGTATTTATAAAAATGTCTACTCAATGAAAACTTAGCTTGTCTTAGAGGCAAGCACCGTTTCATTTATACGTCATTGATTATTGTAGTGCCAATGCGACAAGAAGCTACTGTGTCGCCATCTAGTGCACCACACGCATATTTTTTCTTCTTTCCATAGCCAACATTCTTTTTTACAATGTGTGATGAATACGTGCTCTTACGTCACTATACACGCTCATGAATGTCTTGTGGATTAAACATCCCAGGAAAGTACTCCGTGCGTGTTTTGTTTTCGATGCCTACTCGGGGAGATGAACAGCCCTGATGAATAGTCTGTTGCTGTCGCGCTCGCACACTCACTGCGGGCGCCCGTCGCACAGTCGCGACAGCAATATAATTACGCGCGAGCGATAAGGATGGGTAGCTTGGGGTCATTGGACAAAATTCTACGTGCTCGCAAACCGGGCTTTATGACTATAAACAGGAGGAATCTTACTTGTAGTATGGCCTGTGAGGCGCGCTGCTTGGCGGTCTTCTTGTTCTTGCAGACGACGGTGGCGCTGTGCTTGCCCACCTTCATCGTCAGCTCGATCTTCTGGAACTCCAGCTTCTTCATCTGCAACCAGACACAAGTATTACAATAATGAATCAGAGATTCTATAGATGTATTTAAAAAGTTTCTAATGCCACACAACCACAATTCTAAATTGTAATAGAAAAATTGCTATTCTTAGAAAACCTTCAGACAAACTTAGGTCTAAATGGCTGTAATTTCAGAAGTTACGACAAAAACGAACATATTTGGGGCCTCTGTATTTATATTATTATTGGTTTTGGGCCTTCATTTGCGCCAGCTCGACCTGGTTTGATCTATTGTGGCAGCCCTTGTCTTTAGAGTTCACTGCTTAGTCCCGTTGAGTCTATAAATTTCCTCTGTAGCCTTAGAGCCCTGTATCATTGATACAGCAATAGCTACGCCCCTGATTCGTGCCTACTTACCTCTGTGGAGATGTGTCGGTCGGTGGCGCCGAAGTTGCGCAGCAGACAGGTCCGCAAGATGGCGTGCGGCGACGGCTCGCACGTGGCGGCGCAGAACTCCGTGATGCGCGGGTCCTCGATGCCCACGTAGTCGAAAAACTGGAAGGGAACGAAAATATCATTACAGCAGAGTAGGTAAAGAAAGAATAAAATAAATTGTTTATTTGGCAGAGCAGTCTGTACAAATGAACAGAGAACAAAATGTGCTCAATAGTCCCTGGCCCAGCATTAGTTGTGACTTTTGCTAACTTAATGCAAATCAAGAACCAAATCCAAACTCAGGCTGCACTCCTAACTCGGCCTGGAACTTTACTCGGGTAGAGATCCAAATTAGGCAGTGGGCGGGCCGCATAGTATGTAGAACTGATACCCGTCGGGTCAAAAAAGTTATCGAGTAACGGGATCGAAAAACGTAATATATGCAGGCCACGCATTACTTCCACTTGGTGAACCGACAGTATGGTGAAGGTCGTGGAAAGCTAGACGCAGCTCAAGACCTATGGTTGCAGAAATCTTTGGAGCCTTCTCTTGTCCAGAATTGGATGTCCTAACATATAACGGATAAGGTCTTGTCTACAAGTGGACGTTGACGTTGACCACTGACCGAGAAGTCGGGCTCCTGCGCGCTGGTGCCGGCATCCAGCTCGTCCTTCATCTCGGGGATGAGGATGCAGACGGAGGCTTGGCCTGCCGCTTGTGGAGCCGAGTACGTATGTCTATTCAAAGACCGCATCAGTGTGGCAGACTGATGCGGTCTGGGCTCTCCGGGATCAGGTCAAAGTAAACGCAGCCTGCATCATGTTCATGTATGAACAACAGCATCGTGCATTTTGTATCCTTACCGATCTTTTCTTTTGCCCCAAAGTACAGTCTTTTTTCTAGATCCAGACTTCTATAATGTGTCCTAAAGTTGTTAACAATGGGTTTTTATCCTACGTTGCCTTCCTTCGTGCCTGTAATATCCTCATCATCGTTTCAGCTACAGGACGTCCACTGCTGAACATAGGCCTCCCCCAATGTCTTCCACATCGCACGGTTGGTAGCGGCCTGCATCCAACGTCTTCCTGCTACCTATATCAGGTCGTCCAATCTATCCACTGACCGAGAAGTCGGGCTCCTGCGCGCTGGTACCGGCATCCAGCTCGTCCTTCATCTCGGGGATGAGGATGCAGACGGAGGCTTGGCCTGCCGCTTGTGGAGCCGAGTACGTATGTCTATTCAAAGACCGCATCAGTGTGGCAGACTGATGCGGTCTGGGCTCTCCGGGATCAGGTCAAAGTAAACGCAGCCTGCATCATGTTCATGCATGAACAACAGCATCGTGCATTTTGTATCTAGATCCAGTCTTCTTATACATATGTATATCTTAAGCGACAACGCGACATGTCGCGGAGTCGCAACGACTGCTAATAATATGAAATGACGCACGCATGCGTTTTGTGGTCCCAATGTGCGCTGTCGCTAAAGTTGTTAACAATGGGTGTTTTATTTTACGTTGCCTCGTTTCGTGCCTGTAATATCCTCATCCAATATGTCCACTGACCGAGAAGTCGGGCTCCAGCGCGCTGGTGCCGGCGTCCAGCTCGTCCTTCATCTCGGGGATGAGGATGCATACGGAATCTTGGCCTGCCGCTTATAGAGCCGAGTACGTATATCCTATTCAAAGATGTGCCACACTAATGCGGTCGGGGGTCAGCTCAAAGTAAACGCAGCTGATTTGTATCGATGCGAATTGACCGTTGCGGGCACCAGCAAAGAACATACCGTTGATAGACCGCTGATCGACAATATTGTTCATATTTGATGTGGGCTGCGTTCACTTTAACCTGCCGGGCTATGATGCACGCCGTGATAAAATCTTATCCATGATTTTAGACAAATGTATGGGCTTATCGCGTAAAATCGATAAAATGGCGCGATAAAAGCAGAAAAAACTGACCGAGAAGTCGGGCTCCTGCGCGCTGGTGCCGGCGTCCAGCTCGTCCTTCATCTCCGGGATGAGGATGTGGATGGAGGCGCGCGCGGCGGCCGACTTGGCCTGCCGCTTGCTGGAGCCGTGCCCCACGCCGTACTGCATGCCGCCGATGTACACCGTCGCTTGGTACGGGGTCGCGGCGTTCTCTGGAAAATATCAAATTATGATTAGGTAGTGGGCTCGTCGAAATACTAATGAGGACTAAAAAAATAGTTTGAGCAGTCAGTCATCTATTTTCACTCGGAAAATTTACAATTATTTAATTACGTATATATTGTAAAGCTTGCAAATTTATTACATTCAGGCTTTTTATGTGAAGCTCCGCTGCATAGAATACATTCATCCAGCAACACAACGTAGGATACACACTTACCCACCTGCCCAACATTAGAATACAGTCTCACCCATCTTCAAAACGTTAGAATACAGACTCACCTAGCTGCACAACGTTAGAATACAGTCTCACTCAGCTGCGTAACATTAGAATACAGTCTCAACCAGCTGTGTAACATTAGAATACAATATCACTCAGTCACTTAACATTAGAATACAGTCCACCCAGCAGCCCAACGTCAGAATATAAACTCTCTCACCTGCCCGTTAGAATACAGACTCGCATAAGTGTAGAATACCGACTCACCCAGCTGCACGAACTCATAAACCGGCTGCTTCTGCAGCGCGCGCCGCACGTACTCGTGGAACACCGACAGGTAGCTGCGTCCGTTCATGTTGCACCCAGTCCTCTTGTTAGAATACAGTCTCACTCGGCTGCCCGTCAGAATACCGACTCACCCAGCTGCACGAACTCATAAACCGGCTGCTTCTGCAGCGCGCGCCGCACGTACTCGTGGAACACCGACAGGTAGCTGCGTCCGTTCATGTTGCACCCAGTCCTCTTGTTAGAATACAGTCTCACTCGGCTGCCCGTCAGAATACCGACTCACCCAGCTGCACGAACTCATAAACCGGCTGCTTCTGCAGCGCGCGCCGCACGTACTCGTGGAACACCGACAGGTAGCTGCGTCCGTTCATGTTGCACCCAGTCCTCTTGTTAGAATACAGTCTCACTCGGCTGCCCGTCAGAATACCGACTCACCCAGCTGCACGAACTCATAAACCGGCTGCTTCTGCAGCGCGCGCCGCACGTACTCGTGGAACACCGACAGGTAGCTGCGTCCGTTCATGTTGCACCCAGTCCTCTTGTTAGAATACAGTCTCACTCGGCTGCCCGTCAGAATACCGACTCACCCAGCTGCACGAACTCATAAACCGGCTGCTTCTGCAGCGCGCGCCGCACGTACTCGTGGAACACCGACAGGTAGCTGCGTCCGTTCATGTTGCACCCAGTCCTCTTGTTAGAATACAGTCTCACTCGGCTGCCCGTCAGAATACCGACTCACCCAGCTGCACGAACTCATAAACCGGCTGCTTCTGCAGCGCGCGCCGCACGTACTCGTGGAACACCGACAGGTAGCTGCGTCCGTTCATGTTGCACCCAGTCCTCTTGTTAGAATACAGTCTCACTCGGCTGCCCGTCAGAATACCGACTCACCCAGCTGCACGAACTCATAAACCGGCTGCTTCTGCAGCGCGCGCCGCACGTACTCGTGGAACACCGACAGGTAGCTGCGTCCGTTCATGTTGCACCCAGTCCTCTTGTTAGAATACAGTCTCACTCGGCTGCCCGTCAGAATACCGACTCACCCAGCTGCACGAACTCATAAACCGGCTGCTTCTGCAGCGCGCGCCGCACGTACTCGTGGAACACCGACAGGTAGCTGCGTCCGTTCATGTTGCACCCAGTCCTCTTGTTAGAATACAGTCTCACTCGGCTGCCCGTCAGAATACCGACTCACCCAGCTGCACGAACTCATAAACCGGCTGCTTCTGCAGCGCGCGCCGCACGTACTCGTGGAACACCGACAGGTAGCTGCGTCCGTTCATGTTGCACCCAGTCCTCTTGTTAGAATACAGTCTCACTCGGCTGCCCGTCAGAATACCGACTCACCCAGCTGCACGAACTCATAAACCGGCTGCTTCTGCAGCGCGCGCCGCACGTACTCGTGGAACACCGACAGGTAGCTGCGTCCGTTCATGTTCAGCACCCAGTCTCGCTTGTTCGTCTTGGCTCCTGAGGAAATATAATAAAATTATTACGAATTGAAGACAAACACACACACACACACACACACACACACACACATACACGCACGTACGTATGCACGCCCGCACGCACACAAACACACACACACACACACACACACATTACATTTTTACGAGTTTTATTAAACCTCGAAGGTAATTTCTTCGGTACTAACGGCTGACTCACGGGTCTACAGTTATTTTAAAAAGAATCTTGTAAACGGCTTATTGCAGCCCACTTAGCCTTTCCCAAGAAAATCTCCCGCTTTTTTTCATTCAGTAATCTTCTTGAAATCGTTATATGCCATAAATACTTCATAGGATCTTTTAAAAGCTATTCAAGAGAAGGATAGAAAGATCTTAGCTTCATCATCATCATCATCATCATCATCATCATCATCATTTCAGCCACAGGACGTCCACTACTGAACATTGGCCTCCCCTAATGCCTTCCACATCGCACGGTTGGTTCACGGCTGCATCCAGCGCCTTCCTTTATCAGGTCGTCGGTCCACCTTTTCGGTGGACGTTTCATCGCGGACGTGGATCTTAGCTTACTTCGTGAGAAATTATACTATCGCCCTTTGTTTGTCCTATTCTACCTCTAGGATCACATGACGCTCGTGGCTAAGCTTACTTTTGGGTGGACGTTCCATCGCGGACGTCGATCTTAGCTTACTTCGTGAGAAATTATACTATCGCTAGCCCTGCCTTTGTTTGTCCTACTCTACCTTCCTGTCGGAGACAGTGTGAGGTGTATGATGGACTGATGTCTGGCAGGTCTTGGTACAGGAAAACACCGAAGTTGCAGATAACACAATTTATTCAAGACACCATTTCTACACCGACTCCGCAAAGATTAACAGAGATCAACAGTGTTGTCACTGTCAAAAAATAAAAAAGAAGTAATATTTATGTTGCTTGTAACACTTCCCTAATGGGGTTGTGGCGACGCCACTACAAACTAGTGACCAACAGATGGCGCTGTTACTACTTCACTATGGCACACTCCGCCGCTCATACAAACCTGCATCGCGGTGACGGAGTTTTATATCCTGCCAAGTATATATAGGCAAACCAAGATGGTGCAAATTGGACCTTGGTCCCCGAGCATAACACCCGCTCGGAAGGAAGCACTAACATCTAGCTTCCTTATTGTGGATCAACATCATATTCCACAGGGTCATATCTTACGCTCGTGGCTAAGCCTACCGTTGTCCTGCCCGTTGGCGGGCGCGGCGGGGATGGTGATGAGCTTGGTGCCCTCCGGCAGCGTCGGGTACTGCAGCGTCTTGCGCGCCTTCGTGTACTTGCGACGGTCGGCCCACCGCCTGGCGATACACACTAGCATTACCAATTTGGAAACAATGTACTAAAGCCCGGTCTGCGAGCACGTAGAATTTTGTTCAATGACCCCCAGATACCCATCTTTATCGCTCGCGCGTAATTATGTTGCTGTTACGCTCGCACACTCACTGCAGGCGCCCGTCGCACAGTCGCTACAGCAATATCATTACGCGCGAGCGATAAGGATGGGTAGCTTGGGGTCATTGGACAAAATTCTACGTGCTCGCAGACCAGACTATAGTCATATCAACTGACACATTCAGCAGCCCCCTAGACCAGGGGTCTCCAAACTACGGCCCGCGGGCCATATCCGGCCCGCCACTGCCATCAATCTGGCCCGCGACAGCATAAGACTAATGCCTGTTTTCACCATTAATCCCTAATTTTTAAGTGACCCCTATGAAACTATCACATTAAAAAAAAAAAAAAAAAATTCTCCTCCTCCTGTTGTGTTACCATAAGGGTCACTTAAAAATTAGGGATTGATGGTGAAAACGGGCATAAGCCTATGTTTGCATAGGTGGGCAGAAGATTAAAATTGTAATGGCCCTTGCAACATACCGAAAAAAATATTATGGCTTCAAAGTTTGGAGACCCCCTGCCCTAGACAAAAGACTGACATCAAAGTAACGTCAAACGTGAGCGAAACGTCGGATTTGCTTCAAATATGTATAGTTCCAAAATACTGAACTGTCCTATGCATGACATTGACAGTGGGGCGCCACCGTCAATACCGGATCGCTAGTTCCGATTTTGGCCATGTTGAAAACCATATAGTTGAACGATGGTAGCGCCCCCCTGTCATAGAGTTTGGTGGGACAATTCAGCGTGGGTCATCTATATGCTCTGTCCTGTCGTGTCATAATAATTATGTCAATGTCACCTTTACCGTGCCGCTCCCATACCTCAAGCACTGACTCAGTTATGCGCTATAATCTAACAACTAGACGGTTTTAACGAGCTAATATACCATTCAAACATTAAACATCACATAGACCACCGCTACTAAACACAGACCTCCTTCAAAGCACGTCACGAAGCCTGCTCATTTCATTTTCAGACCTAAATATTCATGTACTCTTAAAAAACATTAACTGCAGAAAAAAAACTATAACAAGTAATTTATCCATTATACCAGTTTTCTTTTTATCAATGATCAGCAGAGCTTTATAATCTATCTATATATATAAAAATGAAACCCGTTTCGCGTTGTCACGGCATCACGTGTGAACGGCTGAACCGATTTCGATAATTCTTTTTTTTTAATGTTTGTGGAAGTCCAAGGATGGTTCTTACGGAAAAAAATATTAAGAAAATCTCTACGCTAAGGCGGTACGAAGTTCGCCGGGTCAGCTAGTGTAACATATTAATAAACGTCGCGTTAAGACCCGTGTCTTTCTATTTTAGTTGAAATGGAACGCGAAAGTTTAAAATCTTATAATGATCAGCAGGTAAAAAAATCCTAGAAGTAGTAAAATGTCATGCAAAAACAATTTCCGACAATGCAAACAAACTCCTATAAAACTATGAAACAAAAGTTGTTATAAAAGCCCCTACCACAACAATCATATCACATTCGCATATGCTTGTCTGCTCATAAAAACAATTTCGATTAACTGGTGTGTCCGGTCCCCTATTACCAAAAAACCAAAAAACTACCTAGTGAACGGCGGAGCGTTGCCACTTGCCATCCTACGCGAAAACACAGAACACTCATACTTACATGAAGTGCATAATATTCACCGTGTTGAACTTAAACAGCCTTTTGCAGTACTCGTTGACTTGTTCGGGCGTGAGGTGCTGCGTCTTCCAGCTCGTGGCCACGGTCTCCACCCGCGGCGGCGGCATGACCACCCCCCCAGGGAGCACCACAGGCCTTTGCCCCGCCGCCTCCGGTACCTCACACCCTTCGTTAACACCCTCCGTATTCAACACTTGCTCATCTTGAGAATGCTCAGATTCGTCCTCATTTGTTTCGTTCGACACCTCTTTCTTTGTAACGGGCTCTGCTTGTTTTGTTTTGTTACTATTGCACTCTTTTTCGTTCTCTTCAGCTAATGTTTTCTGTGCGGCTTCCGTACCCATTTTAGTCGTTTCCGAGCCCATTTTTGTTGCTTCTGTACCCATTTTAGTTGCTTCTGTACCCATTTTAATTGCTTCAGAGTCAACAATCATCTTTGCAAGTAGATTTTTCTTTGTATCTTCATTATGCAATGCAAAAGTATTTTCAATCTTCGAAAGAGAAGGTTTTCTAGCTTCGTTTTTTAGCAAATTAATTTTCGTTAATTTATCTTCGTTTGTAGTTTCACTAGCTAGAGATTGTTCTACGTTGTCGTTTTTGTACCCATCATTATTTAATACAACATTATCGGCATTTATTGTATTACTAAACTTAAAGGGACATTTTGTGACTACATTTTCGTTTCTATCGTCAACATTATTTATTTCGTTATTTTTTTCATTACTTGCATTGGCTACAGATTCCTTATCTCCATTATTATCAGCAGAATTAACCACCCAATTTCCAGATCTAATTTGTTCTGCAATTCTTTTATCTATTTCTTTTTGCTTTTTTTCTTCTTCCAAAGCTTTTCTATACGACAAGCAGGGTATTGCACTAATGGGTATATCATGTCTCTGCAAGAAAAGATTGGTAGAATTAAAAGGTTGATAATGTTATTCTAATTGGTGGTGGCAGAATATTACTTAAATCAGTTCAAATACTAAACCACAAAGAAGGGCAGGCTCAATCTTCAATTAAGATTGAGCCTGTTGGTGGTAGACATTTCTGGACCGATACTATTCTTGGATCATACATATGTATTGGACTCATTTAATACTCTGAACCCTCTTTTGTGCGTCCGTCATAGATTTACATTTTATACAGGGTTTAAAAATAGGGGCTACTAGCTTTTACCCGCGGCTTCACCCGCGTGAAATTTCGTTTGTCACAGATCGTCATAAATTATAGCCTATATGCTCAGAATACGGAACAAACCAGAAACCGTCAACGGGCGTAAATGTGTATTCATATAAATTACTCCAAAACGCACTAATTTGACTTTAGAGCAATTAGTCAATGGCCGGCGCGCGCATTGTTTACATATCCGTCAGATTGACACTTTATAATTAAATTATGCCGTCTTGTGCCGTTCCAACATGTAAGAATGCTACTGGAATTACGAAGAAAGTGCATGGGATCATGTTTTATCCGTAAGTAGCACATTTCCAATTCATTTTAATTAATTAATAATTTTCAAAAAAAATCACGGTTGTATTTTGTAAGTGTTGCCACAGGTCAACGGAATATTTTACCCTACTTTTTTATATTGAATTACATTTTGTCTATAAAAAATTCACGCGTTAATTTTGTTAGCGTTACCACAGAATAATGGAATATTTTCCCCATCCTTTTTGTTTTAATTAGTTTTTAGTGTAATTTCATCCATGACATGACAACCTGATTAATTAAATTATAAGTGCCACTTGTGGTCTAAACTGAATAAATATTTTTGATTTTGATTTGATTTTAATATTTGAATTAATTTATAATATTACTCCCTAAATAATGAGGAGATAATAAATTACTATCGTGAATTTCATACTTTCCCATTTATTCAAAAGTAAGGCATTGGTATCAACAGATCAGCAGCAGCAATATTTGTATATTTAATAATAATTTTAAGTAATTAATTATTGCTTACATACTTACTCTGATTTTCTTTCAGGATACACAGCCAGAGTTGCCTCGCAATCAAATTCAAGTATTGGTGATGTTTTTGATTTGGATTCTGTTTTTGACTCCAAGAAAAGTTAAACTAAAAGCACTACTGCGCCGTAAACAAATGTTTTGTTGTCGATATGTTTACATAATAAAGAACCTTAAGTTTCTTTTTTGTTTTACTTGGCATTCTAAAATTTATATTCGACTTTTGTAATAATAGAAATAAATAATCATCTACACTTAGTTACTTCGGAGTAAAAATTAAATTCATAGGTAGGTAGGTACTATCTATGCCTATGGCCATGGCCAGTCATGTCGTCTCGTTCTATCGCAAAGAATCACCATTTGATGAGAGCTAGAGCAAAAACGGAAATGGATAGTTAACACTGTGGCCGTGTGTACTTATTTCACTTACTTATTTTTTACTTGTTTAACATCTCATTAAAAAATTACATAATTTTACCCCAAAAATGGGGGTGTCACACGGCGCTAGTAACACTAAAGGGGGTAGAGGGGCGCGGGAGGGGAAGTATTTTGGACACAAGTTGCCGCGTAGAAATGTTATCGAACACTCCTTCTGGTTTGTTCTGTATTCTGAGCCTATATGTTATTCTGGGTTGTAAACAATTATACTGTAAAGTTTCATCAAAATCCGTTCAGTAGTTTTTGCGTGAAAGAGTAACAAACATCCAGACATCCAAACTTTCGAATTTATAATATTAAGTAGGAGTAGGATAGGATTTGTACTTAAACAACGTTTGAATAACTACTTCATGAAATAAGCAAATGAATGTTATTTAAGTCTCTTATACTGTTATCAGTGACAAGTCGTGGCAGCTAGTTTTTTGGATGATTAACGGCTCTGGGTTTTTGGTTGTCTAGTCAAAACTTACCCTTGTGTTGCCCTTGCCGAGGAAGTAGGGCTTGGAGAGCGTGCAGACGCGCGTGCTGCGGTGCACGTACACCGGCATGCCGCTGTAGTGGCGCACCATCATCCAGTCCAGCGGCAGCACCTCGTAGTAGTTCACGCCTTTCTCTGCAGACCACACCGCCACATGTTAGAGCTCACAGACGAGCGACTGCGATAGTGGTAGGCGAATCTCCGACTCGCGCCTTTCGCTGTCATGACATGTTGACACTCTCTGATTATACGTTAGTGACTGATCGTCTTCGAGAGTCGCGGTGCATCGTAGACTGTCGGCAAACATCAGCGATAATCGCGATGCGATTGGCGACAGTCGTCTAATGTGAATTATGTCATAGGCTATTATGCGCGATTGTCGTCGATATACCTACTGTGAGCTCCCTAAGGGCCTGTTTTGTGTCACCTTTAGACGGACCGTCTGTAAACTCCTCTGCACAACATCTCTATGTTACCAAACTTTTCAAGACTACACATACTATTTTAACATTAGTTCAAGAGATTTTTCAACCCTAAATTCTAAATTGCGTATTCGACTACGGTATCGAAGGCAGATTTTTTTTCCATCATAATGACGGTATCATGGCGCTCAAACTGTATGAATGATATTATTAAAAACCGCCGCTCGATCGGCCTGTATGCCGTGCTACAGATGAGATAGTGTACATACCTTCAAGCACGATCTTCTGCCTCGTGATATAGGGCCTCTCCTTGGGCTTGGGCGCTCCCTTGAATCCCTCCGGAAGATCCTCTTCCAGCATCTTCTCGATCTCATCCTCAGGCAGGCCATCGGATTTGCCTGTAAGCATTTGCTTGGTGTTTTTGATATTAACAATTAACATGCAAGAACTTTATAAATCTGCAGCAGAATGAATGAGCTTGTGTTTAAACATACAGATAGAAAAACCAATTGGTAATATCAAACCATCTACCCCTGTTCCCCAAAATAATAAAGAATGTCTTTTTCCATTTCTTCCAAGGATGTACCTTTAGCAGAAATGGAAAATCACTCCCAAGAAAGTAGCTACCATATTATGCCATGTAGAAGCCCCTCAGTATAAAAACAATAAATAACTACCATCAGACATTTCGGAGTCATCATCATTGCTATCTTCATCGTTGGACCTGACTTCGTCTAGAACTTGGAACTCCTTGAGCTTCTCCAACTCTTCAGGTGAAACGAAATCTTCGTACTTGTCGTTTGCAAACTTTGAGTCAGTTCCTGATTTGGGGAGATCACAACTCTCATCACGCTTTAATTTCTTTGCTGGAGGCAGGTCACAGTCCTGCGGTGTCTCACTCATTTCTATCCTACCTAAAAATATTTAATATCTTAACACTAGAGATAATAAATAATAATATTATAATACAACAATGTAATAAAAAGTACAACAACAACATGCATTTAATAAGATACTAGCTACTACCCACAGGATTGCAGGAGTCTTTATCACACATTGCACAATAAAAAAACATAACAGTTGCCTATACCCCAAATTTAACACAAAAGCGTAAGGACAAAGAAACAGTAACTTGCATTTTTCATATACCTATGTAACTAGTTACTTTTTTTTTCAACAACATTTTTAATTATTTTATTGTTCTAGTATTTATGGCAATACAGTATAATTTTAAACATTAAGCTATTATTCTTTACTGTGCAAAAATCTGAAATTGGATACGAGTTAATACCTACCACTATTAACTTTAAAAAATAGTGCAAATAATACAGTTTATATTATTAACTATTTTAAATACTTGGTGCGATTTGAAGCATGATTGCATGTGCCNGTTTTTTCATTACTTGCATTGGCTACAGATTCCTTATCTCCATTATTATCAGCAGAATTAACCACCCAATTGCCAGATCTAATTTGTTCTGCAATTCTTTTATCTATTTCTTTTTGCTTTTTTTCTTCTTCCAAAGCTTTTCTATACGACAAACAGGGTATTGCACTAATGGGTATATCATGTCTCTGCAAGAGAAGATTGGTAGAATTAAAAGGTTGAATTTGTTATTCTTATAGTAGTGTCTACAGGTAAGGTGGCAAAACTAGTATTCCTAGAATCAGTTCAAGATTAGCGTGAATCCTAAACCACAGAGAAGGGTATTAGTGCTCATGTAAGGAGAGAATCCTTCTTCTTCGATTGAGCCTGTTCATAGACATTTCTGGACTAATACAATACTATTCTTGGACTGAAACCTCTTTCGTGCCTACACATGCAGACGTTGTATAACCTCACTGTGCAAATAAATGTAATTCGGACCTCAGTGATAAATTGGGGGTACTCAAAGACAGAACAGTTATGCCCGTTTTTTTATGAAAAACAAAATGAATGTGTCACCACAGGGGTCACTTAAAAATTAGGGATTGACGGTCAAAACGGCTATTAGTCTCGCAACCTATCAAGCCAGCCAAGGAGGGTTTAGAAGCGATAGCACCCTTCGGTGGGATGGCTGGCTGGCCAGGCTATCGCGTTATGGGGAGAAATTTTGTATTACGGCTCTGGGTTTTTGGTTGTCTAGTCAAAACTTACCCGGGTGTTGCCCTTGCCGAGGAAGTAGGGCTTGGAGAGCGTGCAGACGCGCGTGGTGCGGTGCACGTACACCGGCATGCCGCTGTAGTGGCGCACCATCATCCAGTCCAGCGGCAGCACCTCGTAGTAGTTCACGCCTTTCTCTGCAGACCACACCACCACATGTTAGAGCAGGGTTTCCCAATTTTTTTTTTGCCAAGGAACCCTAATTGATTATACTACCCGTACTACTCCGCCCGCACGCCTTGCCCCTCCCTTGTGCGTAAACAAGTCGGTGCGCGCGAACAACGGCAGTCACGAAACGTGGGATAATATTTTTTACGGAACCCTTGCGGCCTTTCCACGGAACCCCAGGGTTCCGCGGACCACCTTACGGAACCGCTGTGTTAGAGAATATGAGACAGAGATTTCATCAGAGAGTGGTAGGCGAATCTCCGACTCGCGCCTTTCGCTGTCATGACATGTTGACACTCTCTGACTATATGTTAGTGACTGACCGTCTACGTCTTCGAGAGTCGCGGTGCATCGTAGACTGTCGGCAACCATCAGCGATATTCGCGATGCGGTTGGCGATGGTCGTCCAATTTGAATTATGTCATAGGCTATTATGCGCGAATGTCATCGATATATGTACTGTCTATATCTGTCTATATCTGTGAAAACCGCCGCTCGATCGGCCTGTATGCCTTGTTACAGATGAGAAAGTGTACACACCTTCAAGCACGATCTTCTGCCTCGTGATATAGGGCCTCTCCTTGGGCTTGGGCGCTCCCTTGAATCCCTCCGGGAGATCCTCTTCCAGCATCTTCTCGATCTCATCCTCAGGCAGGCCATCGGATTTGCCTAGAAGCATTTGCTTGGTTTTTTTTATATTAACAATTAACATGCAAGAACTTGTAAATTTGCAGCAGAATAAATGAGCTTGTGTTTAAAAATCAAACCATTTGTGTCAAAGTCTACCCCTGTTCCCCAAAATAATAAAGAAGAATGTCTTTTTCCATTTCTTCCAAGGATGTACCTTTAGCAGAATCCCTCCCAAGAAAGTCTAACTACCATATGCCATAATATGTAGAAGCCCCTCAATATAAAAACAATAAATAACTACCATCAGACATTTCGGAGTCATCGTCATTGCTATCTTCATCGTTGGACCTGACTTCGTCTAGAACTTGGAACTCCTTGAGCTTCTCCAACTCTTCAGGTGAAACGAAATCTTCGTACTTGTCATTTGCAAACTTTGAGTCAGTTCCTGACTTAGGGAGATCACAACTCTCATCACGTTTTAATTTCTTTGCTGGAGGCAGGTCACAGTCCTGCGGTGTCTCACTCATTTCTATCCTACCTAAAAATATTTAATATCATAACACTAGAGATAATAAATAATAATATTATAATACAACAATGTAATAAAAAGTACAACAACAACATGCATTTAATAAGATACTAGCTACTACCCACAGGATTGCAGGAGTCTTTATCACACATTGCACAGTAAAAAAACATAAAAGTTGCCTATACCCCAAATTTAACACAAAAGCGTAAGGACAAAGAAACAGTAACTTGCATTTTTCATATACCTATGTAACTAGTTACTTTTTTTTTCAACAACATTTTTAATTATTTTATTGTTCTAGTATTTATGACAATACAGTATAATTTTAAACATTAAGCTATTATTCTTTACTGTGCAAAAATCTGAAATTGGATACGAGTTAATACCTACCACTATTAACTTTTTAATAAAAAATAGTGCAAATAATACAGTTTATATTATTAACTATTTTAAATACTTGGTGCGATTTGAAGCATGATTGCATGTGCCTCATGGCTGATCAGGCAACCAATATGAATCTAACATGTTATTAACAAGAAGTTAGACCCATAAAAATATGGGTGAGACTTAAACATAATATTAAGTTATTCTTAATATTCTAAATCAACAACATATTTTATTATAAAAATATTATAAGTACATTACCCTACTTTTTATGACTAAATAATATACAAAAATTATTTAGAAAACATTTAGCATGAGACAACATACAGTATCTTTTTGTTTGAGAATAAAATGTTTTATGATTTTCCACTTAATTCTACAACAATAGGCATGTTATTGAATCTATACTTGATGTTATGATTTTTTTTTTCAAAAACAACATTAACTAACATCTTCTATTAACTTTTGGGTAATAAGCATCACAAAACAAAAAAACATTTCAGGTTACAATAGCATTCACCCTATCTGTTCATCCCTAAAACAACTAAAGCTGTTTGTCTTGCAGATGAGCTATCATAATAAGTCTTCTTTCCCCTCTCTGAACACACATGATACAATTAAAAACCAAATAAAGTTGCAGAAAGATAGTCCACAAATAGCGATGGCACTAAAATTCCAATGTACAACAACAATTGGATTTTAGCCATCGCTCGCTGTAGACTTTCGACGTCCGAGACATCGCCGTGAAGTGCTAAGAGAACCAGCGAAGAGAACAGAGTTCCGGAGGACTAGCGCCTCTAACAGAGACAGAGGCTAGTCCTCCGAAAAACTGCGACAGCGAGGGTGCCTCCGTGCAGCGATGATTATCTAAATGCTGGAAAATAATACGTAATAACCACCTACAAAACGGCCATGTCATCCACTCGAATAGATGCGAACAATTTCTTAAATATAGATCTAACCATTATACTATTTATGGAAATCCAAAAAAAAGAAAGTATGTTAAGTAAATTTCATTACTTTTTCCACATAAACGAGCTCTCGGCCGTTTTGCATGTTGAAAAAAATGGTGCTGGATGGAGGTTATGTACTTACTTGACCTATTTATAGTTAATAACAGCTACTAAGCCTATATACGCTAAACAACTATATATCATAAAATAAATACACTTATTTTATTGACTTTCCACATCCAAAATTTGTTGCAGTCACATTAAAATCACAGAAAAAAACTTTGGGGGAGTCAAGAAACGCTTGAACTTGAAGGCAGTGCAGGTGTGTTCTTGTCTATGCTATGTGCTCCACTAATACATATACAGTGTGAGTCACGTTAAAGTGTACATATGAAAATAGATGAAACTAGACCTATTTTTATCGACAAAAAAGAGGTCAAAAAATTTTTGAGATTTTTTTTTAATTTTTTATAGAATTTTTTTTCTTCCAATTACTTATTGTAAAGAAAACGTAATAACTTTTAAACTAAGCGGTATACCCTGATAAAATAAAAACAGTAATAATGCTAAATAACAGGCAATACTAAAAAAAATACATAAAATACACAAAAAAGGCCAACAAATAATAAAAAATGATACTTTTTGAAAAAAATCTGCTTTTAAATTAGTGTTTTTTTGGTTATTTTATAAATTACTCAAAAAAATGCCCCCATAACAGGTGGTTTTTATTACTTTGTATTATTTTCTATCGTATTATCTTTGTAAAACCAAAAATCGCATGTCTCTTTCCCTATCACAACATTTGCTATGATCGTTTGAACAAAGGCCTGCCACAACATTATTCTCCGCTACAGGTAGAGACAATTTTAATTTTAACTAAAATGCTTATTTTACTTCGAAATCTTTTGTTTTTATTTGAAATCTAACTTGTCTTTATCAAAATTACAAATCTAGAGCCATTTTCAGTTTTGTTGTTAACGAAGCGTTGAATGGCGCGCCCGGAGAGGCTTAGTTCAAACGATCATTGCAAACGTTGTGATAGGGATAGAGACATGCGATTTTTCGTTTTACGAAGGTAATACGATAGAGAATAATACAAAGTAATAAAAACTACCGGTTATAGGGGCATTTATTGGAGAAATTTATCAAATAACCAAAAAAACACGAATTTTTAAGCGGATTTTTTTCAAAAAGTATATTTTTTTTATTATTTGTTGGCCTTTTTTGTGTATTTTATGTATTTTTTTAGTATTGCCTGTTATTGAGCATTATTACTGTTTTTATTTTATCAGGATATACCGCTTAGTTTAAAAGTTATTACGTTTTCTTTACAATAAGTAATTTGAAGAAAAAAAATTCTATAAAAAATTAAAAAAAAATCTCAAAAAATTTTTTACCTCTTTTTTGTCGATAAAAATAGGTCTAGTTTCATCTATTTTCATATGTACACTTTAACGTGACTCACACTGTATAATGCTTGTGTTGTTCTCTTTCTTTGTCAAAATCACGTGTATTTTTGTTATCAAGATAGAGATGATATAAATAGGATGATTTTCCGGATAAATGAAACACAAACACGTTGTCTTGTCAAACGAAGATTAAAAAAACAAAACTATGAACAAAACCAAAGAGTAAAGTAAATATGTACTAACAAAACGCAAAGGTGATATTACGAATAGGTGTTCCCGTGTTCCTGTTGGTTCCAACACCAAGAATAGTTCCGATTTTTTGAACGAAAGGAAAAGGAAAAAAACCCATAATTTAAAGATTTCACAATAGATTTAATTACCTATATTATGAATTACAGATTCACTGGTCACTGCAGCACTGGTGTAAGTATCGTGTGCGGGAAAAGAAACAAAGACATAATTTTAATCATTTATTCAGCCAAGAGATAAATTACAACCAAAAAAGATAAAATATTTTCTTACAACTACAAGATGTTATCACAGTAATTTGCGTCATACCTACACGCTAATAATTGATGACTGCAAAGTAATTCATAATACACGAAAATATCATTCCGAGTCATCGACAACGATCCTATTCTCTTATTTCTTTACCCTGAGAATTCCTCTTTATGTCATTTACTTCTCCTCTAAAATAGATTATAAATAATATGTAGGCTAGATAATGTCCTAGAATTACATTCATTGACCGTGAAACGCGGATCAGAGCAAGTTAGTGTGAGTTATAATGATTTCCTCACGTTGGGTCAACTGTGTACTGGGGGTGTACTGGGTTCGGATATATTGTACATATATTTTGTTATTATTATTACATATTTTTCTTAAAAACAAACGTTCTGGGTTTGTGCCAATGCCAACTTACAGTTGGTGGTGTGCTTGGCGTACGTGGGCGGAGTGGCGTGTGCCATATTAGGGAGGTGTCAGCGCCATCTATGTACTGTAGATTGTAGTGGCGTGTCGACAGATGTCACCGCGATGTTCGCACGAGAGTCTATAGTATGGTCCGTGAGCACGTAGAATTTTGTCCAATGACCCCAAGCTACCCATCCTTATCGCTCGCGCGTAATTATATTGCTGTCGCGACTGTGCGACGAGCAGCCGCAGTGAGTGTGCGAGCGCGACAGCAACATAATTACGCGCGAGCGATAAGGATGGGTAGCTTGGGGTCATTGGACAAAATTCTACGTGCTCACAGACCAGACTAGTCTCAGTAGAAACTTTGACATCGCGATGCAGGTTCGTAGGCGGAGTGACGTGTGTCATATTAGAGAGGTGTCAGCGCCATCTATGTAGGCGTGTCGACAGATGTCACCGCAGACCAGACTATAGTCTCTAAACTTTGACATCGCGATGCAGGTTCGCAGGCGGAGTGGCGTGTGCCATACTAGGGAGGTGTCAGCGCCATCTATGTGGGCGTGGTGACAGATGTCACCGCGATGTTCGCACGAGTGTTGGTATAGATGACCCACGCTGAACTGTCCCACCAAACTCAATGACAGGGGGGCGCTACCATCGTTCAACTATATGGTTTCCAAACATGGCAAAAATCGGAACCAGCGATCCGGTACTGACGGTGGCGCCCCACTGTCAATGTCATGCATAGGACAGTTCAGTATTTTGGAACTATAACCCGAGTGGCGTGTGCCATATCAGGGAGGTGTCAGCGCCATCTATGTAGGCGTGTCGACAGATGTCACCGCGATGTTCTTGGGTGTTGGTATGAGTCTAGTTGTCGATGACGCGCTCGTTCTTGGCGTGGTGCCTGGCGCGGCGGCGGCGCGCGGGCGGCGGCGGCGCCACGCTGACTGCTGCGGAGGCCAGCTCCTCGCCGCCGGCCGCCTGCTCCAGCTGTCCCCGGGCTTCCACGAAAAACATCACGTCGCGCAGCTGCTCTTTTAGTTCGGCCACCTAGAAAAAGAAAGAAAAATAATAGAGTTGCCAGTTGACTTTGAACGTGTCTTGCGTGCCCAAACAACTGCACGCAGGAAGATTTAATGAAGGACATTCTTGTGGCGGAGTTTTGGCGGTGACACTGTGTAGGTTTGTTGTCGACACGACTAAAGTCTGGTCAGTGAGCATGTAAAATTTTGTCCAATGACCCCAAGCTACCCATCTTTATCGCTCGCGCGTAATTATGTTGCTGTCGCGCTCGCACTCACGGATCAGGCTTTAGAAGAAGTTGACTTTGAAGACAACTGTCTACGAAGTGTCGTTGAACATTGGTATTTTTAATGAGAGAAAGAGCTCATAAGAAGTATCATAATTGACTTATGGATGGTCCAACAATTTTTTGATGGAGATAAAACGACTGCTGTAACAGCTATCTGCTTTGGTGGTTCGCCATTTCAGCCATAGGACGTCCTATGGCTGAACAAAAGCCTCGTCCAATAATTTCGAGACTGATCGGTTGAAAGCCTCTATGCATCCAACGGCGTCCAGCGACTGTTAGGATCCTGGTGGACGTACCTCCTTGTTAGGGTAGCAAGATTCTGGAGTGAAAGCCGCGTACCAGAAAACGGCAATGAGCAGGGCACATAGTACGCAGAACTGACGGCCGATGGGGCAGCAAGGTTCTGGAGTGGAGGCCGCGTACCGGAAAACGCAGCGTGAGACGTCCACCCACAAGGTGGACCGACGACATCTTAAAGGTAGCAGGAAGGCGCTGGAACGCAGGCCGCTACCAACCGGGCAACATGGAAAGCATGGGGGGGGGGCCCGCTATGTTCAACAGTGGACGTCCTATGGCTGAGATGATGATGATGATGATGTACCTCCTTGACGAAGCTGTCCTCGCGGAGTTTAGCGCGGCTCTGCCACTCGGCCTGGCTGCTGGCCAGAGCGGCCGCTAAACCACGCTCGTCCGATAACTCGTTTTGTAGCACTGACAGTCTGGGAACATAATTATTCAAATTTAATAATCATAAAAAAATATAAAAGAACACTCCTCTACAAGGATTTTACCTTTTAAACTTTCAATGATTTTCGACTAAATCATAAGTAAATAAGTTATTAAATTTTTAGCGTTTGGAGTCATTTTTGAATTTTCAAATAAGTAAATAAGGTTCAAATTATGATGGTAATATCTTGGACCAGACCACGTGGTAGATCACCAACGATGGACAGACCAGATCAAGGCCGCAATTAAATGCTCGGTTTACGAATGTACCCGGGAAGCTGCAGTCCGCAAGGAATGGCGCCGTATTGCAAAGATCATCACTCATCGTGATTCACAATGATGACCACGACAACTCTGGCAAGAGTGTACCGACTAAGAAGAAATACAATATCTTGGAGAGAGCTAAAGCCTGGTCCGTGAGCACGTAGAATCCCGTCCAAGCTTGGGGTCATTGGACGGGATCCTACGTGCTCACGGACCAGGCTTTATAAAAGAAGCCTCACTTGCTGGTGACTTGGAGCAGCTTTTTCTCCAGCGCCTTATTCTCTCTCGCGAGCCCGCTCAGCGACTCCTGCAGCGCCGACGACGTCGCCTCCGCCTCGTCTGCACGCCGCCGTAGCGCGGAACATTCCGCCAAGTGCTCGGATTCGATCCTGAGAAATTATAAAAAGGGTGTTAAAAACTGAACAGTGGTTAGAATCTTCGAGTCGGGAAATTAAGCTGACTTGCTGAGGAGTTGGGATTTTTCCGAGCAGTAAACAAGGTATTTGATCTTGACTCTGGTTGCGTGTGTATTTTAGATCTTGTGGGTTGATTACGATGTCAAAATATCCAAAGGGGCATTAGAGAGAGGTGACAGCACCTAAAAAGCCTATCAGTGAAATGAATAGCGCTGCAGGATAAGGAAGCCGCACACGCGTAACAGGAATGTGCGAAGGCAAAGAAGATGAAGTCATTACGATGGCCTTTCACTGAGCAATCCTCTCCTGTTTTAGTTATCCAGCTGCTACAGGTGTTGAGGATATCCTTGTGTAGCTGCAAGCCACCAGCTCGCCTTGCTAATCTCAGTCCTCTAGAGCAGGGTTTCCCAATTTTTTTTTGCCAAGGAACCCTAATTGATTATACTTTTCCTAGCGGAACCCCCGTACTACTCCGCCCGCACGCCCTGCCCCTCCCTTGTGCGTAAACAAGTCGGTGCGAGCGAACAACGTCGGTCACGAAACGTGGGATAATATTTTTTACGGAACCCTTGCGGCCTTTCCACGGAACCCCAGGGTTCCGCGGACCACCATTCGGGAACCGCTGCTCTAGAGGGCAACACTCACTTGGCGATGCGGCCCTCGTAGTAGGTCCGCTGGCTGTCGAGCTGCTGCGTGAGGATGTAGGTGAACTCCAGCTGCGCGGAGTCCAGCTTCTCTCCGCCGCAGGCCGCGTCGGGCGCCGCGCCGTCCGCCGCCACCAGTTTGCCGTCTGCTTTGTTCTGCACCAGACGGTGTACGAAGTTGTCGCCTGGAGATCAGGGTTCTCGTTGGAAAAGGATGTACGAAACATTGGTGAGCCATATTGACTAAAGCCCGGTCTGTGAGCACGTAGAATTTTGTCCAATGACCCCAAGCTACCCATCCTTATCGCTTGCGCGTAATTATATTGCTGTCGCGACTGTGCGACGGGCGCCCGCAGTGGGTGTGCGAGCGCGACAGCAACATAACTACGCGCGAGCGATAAGGATGGGTAGCTTGGGGTCATTGGACAAAATTCTACGTGCTCACGGACCAAGCTTTAGCTGGCTCAGTTTTTATTGGCGGTCAAACTAAAACAGGAGTTTAAACAGTGGAAAAAACTCTCACTAACTATAATAATATGCAAAATTGATCACAATGCAAAATTACTGAAATAAAATATTGAAGTGACAGAAACAGTTAGATATCGGTAAGTCGGTTAATATAATCATTGTTCGCATAATCATTTCAACTAAATAATCTTACCTGCATAATCCCAGACTCTGTTAGATCCTAACTGCAACGCGTAAGTGTGGTTCGACGCTAAGAAATGCTTCGCTGCGTGACCTCCTTCGTACCTGAAAGTAAATTAAAAAGTTGTAATGATCCCAGCAAGGCTACTCTTTTGTTTTGGATATAATATCTGTCGCTGACGCTCATGCTGGCATCTTGCTTAGTGTAAGAGGGATGAAACATTCTAACTTTGGATTTCGTTTTTGGGAGTAACCCCGCAAGTAGACGTGATCTCACCTGCCGCAGCCGACGTGTCCGCAGATGAGGCAGATCCAGAGTGTGCCGGCCTCTACGCCGTCCAAAAGTCCCTCCGCGACGCCGCTGATGTTGTCGCGAGTCTCCTCGCCGTCTTCTTCTGCAAGAAATATAAGCTTTACGACCGTTTTCTGAAAAAGATATCAGGCAGCGTGACAATGACATTCATATTTACATTACTGATACTATAGATAGTGGATAGGAAAATCCGGCTCGAAGGACCAAAATATAGGGTATAGGGAAAACAATTGAATGAGAGAATTGGACTGTGAAAAGACAATTAACTAGGTGCGCGTGCGATGTCATCGGTCTTTATTAGGTATTTGCTTCACGCAACTTGAAGATGGTGGAGTCAGGGCCGTCTTTAACCTACTAGGGGCCCTGGGCATTTAAGGATTAAGGGGGGCCCTTATCATCNCGCTACTCACCCTGCTGCAGCTCGCACTGGAAGCAGCTGGCACTGGCGCGTGGCTCGGGCGTCTGCGCACAGCGGCACACGGGGCAGCGCGCGTCCCGCCAGCGCACCAGGCACGCGGCGTGGAACGCGTGCGCGCACTGCACGCTCAGCACGCCCGCCACGCTCTCGTCCATACGCTCTGCGGACACATGTCAAAGTTAACGCCCTTCTGTCTTGCAGTAACAACCGATGTTGTAACTCTGGTGATGGCTAAATCAGAGCCCCGATTACGGTAATTTTTAACGTCTCCAATCCAGACGCGTTTCCGATTCTGCAATACGATTGGTCAAAACAGCTGACGTACGCCAGCGTAAACAGCGTACGTAGTGTTTTGACCAATCGTATCGCAGAATCGATGAAGCGTGTCTGGATTGTAGACGTTAAAAGTTACCGTAATCGGGGCTTAGGCTACAAGACTCCTATAGGCTGACACCACAATCAAACATTGTCTTAACATCTTATCTCTGAGCACCAAGTCATACTTCGATGACTGGGAACTAATGCACAAGTGATTTTACAAATGTCAAGTCCGTTTCTTTATAAGCACACAGTGACAGACGATCTGGTGAAGATCTCGGGAAGAGCCTGGATGCGGGCAGCGCAGGACCGGTAGTTATGGAAATCCTTGGGGGAGGCCTTTGTCTAGCAGTGGACGTCATTTGGCTAAAACGAAGCACACAAGGATAAGTGAATAAAGATGATCATGTAGGACAAACCTACCTAAACACACAGGACACGTCGGCAGCTCGGTGTGGGAAGGCGGCGGGGTCCCGTCGCGCGCCCACTCCACTCGGGACACCCAGGCCATGTGGCACAGAGCGTTGGGCTCCAAGCTGCTGTATGGGACACCATCAAACGTCTCGTGGAACTCTCGGGCAGCTTGGTATGTTCGGAATCTGCAAAAAAATAGCCATTCTAAGGCTGGATGCTGCACCACCATCTTACTTTAACTTAACAACAACAAACATCAAAAATCTTTGAAACTCCATACAAAAAACAGTAGTTATTGTTACATTTACGATTAAAATTAAGCGGTGCAACTCAGCCCAAAACAGATAATCCAGAACAAACATATTTTACGATACAAACCTAAACCTAGCCTAAACTTACGTTAACAATGCCATATAATGGTCCGGAGACCCGTCTCTCAGGACTCTCACGTGAGCAATATCTTGCTGGCAGGCCGCAGCAAACGCCAGCAGGTCCGGAGCGCCCAGCGCTCCCGGCACTGACAGCAGGCAGAGGGTCTTGGCTTCCTCTGCTTCTTTGAACTCACTGTGGAGTAAGTGTAAAGTAAAATATAATATGTGGGCAGGCCTCCTACTAGGTGGACCGACGATCTGGTAAAGGTCGCGGGAAGAGCCTGGATGCGGGCAGCGCAGGACCATTCATTGTGGAAAACCTTGGGGGAGGCCTTTGTCCAGCAGTGGACGTCATTTGGCTGAAACGAAGAACAAAAATATATATGTTAGCAATATGAATTGTAAATAGGCAATGATGATCTTTTGCTGGTTTCTTACTAAAGGTTCTAATGAAGACGGTAAATAATAAAAGCATGTAGTTAAATAGCCTTCAAAACTCACATATTATTGGGCTAATACCCTTATAATAACTTCACATCTCTTAGGTTGTAAAAGTTACACGAATTTACTCACTTTTCTTTATACAAATGCAGTACTCCCTTCGTGACTTCTACCAGTGGATTCCCACAAAAGAAGCTTATAGTGTCATCGTCTTCCGATATACTGCTGCCTTCTGGAGGCGAGCGACGGGAGCTCGTGGGCAGGATCCCAGTTTTATTGTTGGGACCAGACAATACGCTTGCGTATGTCTCCACTGTTATTGTCTTGGATTCACGAGCGCCACGGTCCTTCTTTTTCTGCTCCTTGGCGGCTTCTGTGTATGAGAAGATTAGATCGATCGATAAAAGGGCTTTATAGTCAATTGTGATAATATTATTGTGCAACTGGGCAAATTATTCTATTCAAGGCAGTTGTGAAATCAATTTTAAGGTGAAGGTGGTCAGAACAAACAAACAGGCTTTTGCCTTTGCATTACTGTAATACTTTCTTACCTATTTCAGCAGGATTATCGCCCATTTCAGGTAGATCTTCGTCAATTTCAATTCGCAAAACGCACAAAGACACAGACATTTACGAAAAATATTGATTGCAAATCAAAACAAAAGGATAAGTTTTATTATTTTACGGATATAAAACCAAGTTCATTACAGCAGCTTATAAAACAATCACAATATTTTATCTAATGAGATAAATATTTAAGAAAATTCCTATTGTTCAAAAAAGTAACACAAAAATGTAAACAACAGCTGAGAAAATTTGTGATGACTGTATAATGCTGCCAAATAATACTTCACTTTTGCTAATTGATTGCTGATAAAAAGTTGAGATAGATGTTAGCAAAATCTACTAACACAAGCGAGACAAAAGATATCATATGACCATCAAGAACGACTTCTTAAAATTGACTCCTATCACATGACGTTGTATTTCTGCGTTTTGTTGACCAATTTATTAAATAAATAGATAAATCATTCTACATAACTTCCTTCATTGATGTAATTATTTACTAATTACCTCTAAAATTACACTTTACTGAAGTTTGATTAACTTTGTCATTCGATTATAAAAAAATAATCTCATTTAAATATCTAACGTTTCGTTCGGTTCTAGTTTAGAAACACACTGGAATTCCAATGCGAAAAAAATAGAAAAAAAAAACAATTAATTCAATATGGCTACAGATCATACGACGTGAGCTGTCAGCTGTAGTAATTTTTGTTTCTTTGTGTTTATTACGCCTCTAAAAATGTTATGATCATTACGTATACGCGAATATGGGTGCAAAAGACTCAAAACCTACTTTTATATCCTATGAAGATGCAGTGAAGCGAGGTGCGTGATCAATATAAAGTTGGTGCAAGTGCGCTGTGGGATCTTGATAAATAACAGCTTATTTGTATCGTATTATTTGCAGTGTCTGATAGTGAATTGAGACGGATTCGCGAGGCGTTCAAGAGGTGCGCTGGAGTTAACGGCACGTCCTTGAGTTTGGAGGCATTCGTCCATGAAGTGCTGTGTGACGGAGTGCCGTATGAGGTCGCCGAGTGGCTGTACCAGGCTTGCGGCGGCACCAAGCGGGGCATCGCCTTCAGGGAGCTGCTGTGCGGGATAGTAGTGTTGACCAAAGGGAACCTCGAAGAGAAAATTAAGTAAGAACCTTAACATACTCACAAACTTGTTGGTAAACATTGGGTAGCTCATACAATGGTCATTATTGTAGGTTTCTATGGACGCTGTATGTGAATAACCAAGGCGACAATGGAGTGTACATTTACAAGAGGGATTTTGCGCGATCACTGCACTTGGAGAACACATCTCTGCCAGTGACAGGGGCCCAGCGATCAGCGGAAGTGTTGCTCAGTCTGTTTGGGCCTGGCGAGAAGGTTACGTTTGAGCAGTTCAGATCATGGCTGCTCATACACAAGGACGCGACAGTGCTGTCCCGATGGCTCCTATCTGGTGGAGGGCATGTGATCCAAGATTTGGAGACACCCACATTTTACCAGAGTTTGGCTGGAGTGACACATCTAGAGGAAAGGGTAAGTTTCTTTTATTTCGTTCAAACATGTAGGTAGCTAGAACAAATTTTTGTTGAGCTTGTTTTATTTTATCTATTAACATATGTCAGCAAATATTTGAGAGCATGGTTATTTGAGTGCAAATATGATCACTTTTGCAATGACATCCAGATTACCTTGTTAGGCAGTCAACATGTGCAATTAAGATATTTTTGTGTGTAAGCATTCCAGTATGATTCTGCCAAGCGAAATTTAAAGTTATTTTCTACTCTACTTATACTTTTTATATTCTATCAAACACCATTTAACGTTTAACTGGTCATAAAACAATAGTAATTACTGGACATAGTATTTAATCTATATTTATAAAGTAATACAATATATTCCTATCTCCTTATCTTAGATCATAAATTGTATTATTTTTTTGCAAACACAGCTTATCTATTCAGTCTATGTTAGGCTGTGTGAATACATTGAATCTCTATTAAAGTATTGTGCTTACATAATTGTAAATGTCTCTCAAGATTTTGAGAGTTCATTTTGCCTCTTTTTAACTAACTTCAAAAAAAAGAGGTGGTTCTTCATCGGTGCAACACATTCAAACACATTTATAGAAATCCAACAAGTGTTTATATTACCTCCGTAAATCTATACTTATCAAATCAATGTACTTATTAAGGTTAAGATGATTTAAAAGTTTTGAATTTAGTCCAAAGATCAATATTTTTACTAAAGTACTTCAAAAAACACATATGATTGATTGACAGCCTCAGTTTTTTATCAGAAATAATTTCATTTAGGTATTTATTTATTTATTTATTTAAAATCTTTATTGCACACATAAAAATACAGTGGTACAACAGGCGAGCTTAATGCCATGTGGCATTCTCTTCCAGCTAACCAGAAAATTAAGCAAAACAGAGAATTTAAGTAGGCGGTGCAAAATAGTACAAATACAAAAAAATAAAATCTATATATTTAGTTAGTACATTTCGTAATTTGTGGTAATTTAAAGCAAAGGAAGCTTATTTTAATGTAAATAAAAACTGGTTCTGTTAAAACCTGGTATTTGAGGAAAACTCAAATATTCAGTCGCTGGATTCAAGGAAAATTCTTTATTAATTCTGTATGGGCAATAAATTTTCATAAGTTTGACTCACAAAGAATTCAAAATGCATCTTAGTGTTAATGGAATATCTATGTAGGTAGTTCCCTTAATTCATTGATAATACATATCAAAAGCATTATAGGGAAAATATTTTTAAGTTTATGTTGTTTGATTTAGTAGAATTTTAGCTATCCACTATTATGTTATGTAGGAGTAGGACTTCCAGTAGATTGTGTATGATTTTGTATGCTAGTTAAAATTTGAATGTAGGTTTCAAAAATACGCCTCTTTTATTAATTTGCTTAAGTGAATGTGTTAGTCAAACAGAGGCGTGAGGTCAAATAATATATTCCAGGTTTGTATCTAACAATGTCTTAACTATGCATTTTTCTTAGAACAAGTTAAATTCAAATTAACAAAGCATAAAATGACTTGGTGTTTACCCCAGTTACTAATCTGATCTAATAATTATGTATTGCTTCATTGTTACACTAATCTGTGTCACCTTATTCATTATCACTCACTTATCAAGCAGACCTTATGAAATGGACTGTGCATATCAACATACTGTTTACTTTTCTTTGTAATACCTACTACAGAAGTCTGAATATGGAGATTTCGTGGGTTTTGACTCCTTATCTTCAAGGAGATACGTCAGTGCGCTAAATGGCGCGTGCGCAAATGCGAAACGAACTAATTGATTCAATCTTAGTTAAGTGCGCGTTCATGCACTCAAACTTGAAGATGAGCTCAGTGGGGCAAAATTATCCACTCTTTGCAATATTGTTGTGCCGCTGTAATTCATTCCAGCCACAGACCACGATTCCAGCCCAGTTGTACCTATATGTTTTTTGTTTTTAAAGATTATTAGCAATTTGTATTGCCCAAATTACTAATAGTCCCATTAGCCCCTCGTGTTAAGCTAAATAAGCTTGTGTTACGAGTGGGCTCACCACAATAGTCGAGCGGCGGTGGGATTCGAATCCGCGTGCCTCGGATCTCGAGTCGGCCACTCCGACCCCTTCACCGTTCGGCTATCGTGGCTATTGATATTCGTCCTATGGGTGGTTATTGGCAAAACCCCCCCGTAGACTTATTCTTGTTCTGAAACATATTATCAGGTCCAATCCAACTCCACTTATTCAAATCTAAGAGGATTTCCTTTTTGATCAGTTTTGGTGCATGACTGCGCAGTTCTGATGTCCTAACAAACAAAAACTCATTGTAATGCTACTTATGCTACCCACTTGTTACTGGCAAAGATAAGTATAATAAACAATGTATCATGTGCAAAACTTACATGGGAGAGTTGATGACTGATAATAAATAATAATGCTTACGTTTGATGCAGTGATTTCAGTTCAGAAAGTATATCTTTCTGCATTTGCCTCTCAGATTACCTGTCATTTTGAAACACAATTTCTATTAGCTTATGTACCTCCTACTGCAGATATGAGTGTAGTTTTTGATAAATTTTCTGTTTCGTCATACAGATGCAAAGAACATTGAGTGTCCTAGTCCTAGGTTATATAGTTTTTTTTTTAATAAAGATTATTAGTAATTTGTTATTACACAAATTCTAATACTCCCGTTAGCCCCTCGTACTAAGCTAAATATGCTTGTATCACGAGTGAGCTCACCACAATAGTCGAGCGGTGGGTTTTAACTTTTGTAAGGTTTGCATTTGACCCATACTTACTCAGGCCCGTCCATTCTTTTAGGACATAATAGAGCTAGAGAAATGCTTCTGGTCTCATGGACCACCTTTTACTAAGTCACCCCAATTTAGTTTCCTCTGTAATGTCTTTGTTAGTAAACAATGCGTTTTAAGGTGCAAGTTCGTAGCCGACTGCAGTACTGCACGAAGCAGCAGCAGACGACATAATGTCATATCGCCGCGACACGTCACTTTCTATATATTTTTATGAAATACTTCCAAGCGACGTGTCGCTTACTACGAATGGTATTTCATAGAAACCAGTAGTGTCGCTGCGATACGTCGTCTGCTGCTGCCTCATGTCGTCCGCTTCCAACTTGCACCTTTAAGTTATGGTTTTTACATTTGACCCGTACTCAGACCCGTCAATTCTTTTAGGACATAATCGAGCTAGAGAAATGCTTCTGGTCGCTCCGCAACGCCGCGCCGAGCGGGCAGCTGGACGCAGCCAGCTTGACGGCCTTGCTGTCGCCGCCGCTGCCGCGCGCTGCTGTCGACGGCGCCGTGCTGGCGCTAGATGAGAACCGCGACGGACACGTGGACTTCAAGGAGCTGTGCTGCGGGCTCAGCGCTGCTTGCCGCGGGCCAAGAACCGAGCGGCTCAAGTGTGAGTGATACTTATTTATTAGCATTTACACCACTGCTGCTTACATGATCCCCTGGACAAAGTAGTCAGTCACTTAGGCACGTCTACTTTGCGGACCTATATTTTTTACGTAAATCACTTCACTTACTATAGTCTGGTCTGTGAGCACGTAGAATTTTGTCCAATGACCCCAAGCTACCCATCCTTATCGCTCGCGCGTAATTATTTTGCTGTCACGCTCGCACACTCACTGCGGGCGCCCGTCGCACAGTCGCGACAGCAATATAATTACGCGCGAGCGATAAGGATGGGTAGCTTGGGGTCATTGGACAAAATTCTACGTGCTCACAGACCGGGCATTACATGAAGCGATCGCAAAATTGAATCTTCAGATTCGGCAATCGACCTTAACAAGGCCAACCTTAGGGCCTCAGGTGGCTGCGGGCACCCGCCCCTGCCCGCGGAGCTCTAAAAAAGTGGTAGGTAGGGTTAAAATTATACTGGTCCGTGTTAAAGCGTTTTTTGAAATCCCGCTCTTCTTCTGTGTGACCCGTATTTTTCTCCTCGAACAAGGTACACATTTATCTCTTTAATTTAACCTTTTGTATGCGGTGGTGCGGATCGCACGCGACAGAATACATTTTCGATTGTGTCTGGTATCGCTACAGTCAAGAGTTTAACCGCACCGGGTGACTCAAGTGGGGATTCTGTTAGATTGATTCATACAATATTCAGCAAACTATAATGTATTGTATACTAATAATTATTTCAAGATCTCATTAATAATGAACCAGTGAAGAAGTTACAGTTTCAGTTGAGTGCAGGCATGACTTGTGTGTTTGCCTGTAATAAGGACGATTAAATAAAACTATTTATTTGATCCAACGCTAATATATCGCTATCGAGAAATAGTTAGTTTCTTTTTTTATTCCTGCAGACGCGTCTCAATGCTCGTCCGTGAACTTAACTTTATTTAAACTAATTGGAGAACTACGTCTAGTCATTATTTATACCGATAACGAAAAAAACGCTAATTACAAATTAGTTAGGATTAATCTCTATCAGTGGAAATTATACGGTAGACGCAGCCTTATTTGTTAAAAATCAGTAATTATTTAGCTACCTGGCGATTTGTAGTACTGCTGCTATTCAGCCAAAGGCGTACCAAGGGTCGAGAGTTCATTCCTCTGTTGCCCTGTCTCGCTGAACCTTGTCCTATCCGACGATTTTGCATCCAACTTTCGATAGATTGAAAGGTCCTTTCTGTAAGATGTGGTGTCAAAGTAAGACTGATGTCAAGATGTCAGACAACTACGCCGTATCAACCGCTGATGGGGTTTATTGAAAGACGTGTATTAGCTGCCGAATGCTTTATTGCACTGATTATAAAAATGTTAGAACTACCAAAGTCCCAAATGTAGGTCAGGCGTAGCTGGCCAAAGTGCGTGAATAAAATGCAAGATAACAATAAATTACTTAGTAATAAAAATGTGCGAGTTGACTCGTACACTTTCCTTTGTCGTAGATCAATGTCTCATTATGTTGATTTTTGAGTAGGACGCGGGTACAAAGACAGCGGGAGTTATATGGTGGCGGCCTTATTATACTAAATCAGTAATTTATGAACCGATCTACCTGGGGACTGATACACGAGACTATTCCCACCTCTCGTTCCCACCGCTGCAACTCCTTTGTAACCAAGGTCTACAAGCTGTAGATCCTGGCCGCCAATAAAAACCCAACCAGTGAAGGTCAAGTTTGTCCTGGGGGAAAGTTAAACTGTCATTGGACCCGCAACGAAATTAATAAGAAGAACATAGGAGGAGTTCGAAGATAAGGTTCGACTTCCCTCCATTGCAAAGCGGATGACAAGTGACAAACAAGGGGGACTGATAGTACCTCTGTGGTCTATGGTTCAGCCAAAGGTCGTGTCAAGGCTCGAGAGGTCATTCCTCTGTCTCCCTGTCTCGCCAAAGCTTGTATCCTCCACGATCGATTTCGTAACCCAATCCTTCGATTGGTTGCCAGGTCCATTGTCATGACTAGGACGCAAGCACAAACTTTTGGTCGCGGATTGCGCGATTTTCTGTTGTAGCAAAAATACAACTGGACACTCGTTAAAACAAATAAATAAATAAATAAAAAAACGTTTATTGCTTTTTACACATAAAAGGAATTACATACAAATGAAGCATACCTACTCTATTTTCACATAATACAATAAAATTTAATATTATTTTATCACAAACCGATACTTTTTGCTCAATAAAAAGCAAACCGGAAAATAATGTTAATGGTTGTTAATGCTTACGATTGAGCGGATAATTATATTGTTATCGCTAAAGCGAATTTTCCTCAATATTCGCTGGAATAAATTCAAAATTGACAGCGTTTTATCAATATCTGCGAAATCGATAAATTATGCTGACTGTTGCGCCATCGTGAGTGGAATATACTTTGAGAAAAGAGGGTACTTACACAATTTCTTTTACATAATTGTAAAGATGTTATCTTTCATACTCTACTTACATTCATTCATGAGGTACACACCAAAAAAGAGCAATTCATCTGCAGTTAAGATATTTTCTAAAATATCGCTGCGCTAAAGGAAAAACACACACTAGATCCTGAATTATTCTGATTAATATTGGCACACGACCTTCATAATACTCGGAACTTAACTTTCCACTAATTTAGCCTTGAAGCTTTAAGTCGTCGCAAGTTCAATGGAAAGTGTCAGGCAGGATCTACATCCTGGATTCACAAGGGTTTTAGTACTGGGACGAAATAGCCATTATAGAGCGCCTATATTTGCAATGTGAATCGTTTTCTTCATTAAAGTAGGTTTTATACGATGAATGTGATCAGTTCATTTGCTCTACCTCGATGACTTTGGTTCTCTCAGGTTTTATTTAAGTGTGTTTTGTTCTGAATACTGATAAACTTGCATATCGCTTGAATGCACGCGGCCATTACGACTTTTTGCCGCTCTTAACGCACCAGCGGTGATAACACGTAGTTTGTTATGGTGTTTACGCAATCTAGCTTTTTGTCAAGGTTGTAAATAGTTAAACAAGTCATTGCACTTAGCTCTTTTATTAATGTTTATGTTGATGACATTATTTGGTATTTAGACGCTCAAAACTACTCAAACTCAAGATAAATCGACATCTAAACTCTAGAGTGAATTTGTTACTTTCTTACTATTATTGTTATTGTAGAGCAGCTGTGTTACATATGAAAGAACGGAATAAACCTTATTGAAACTGAAAAACAGCTTCTACACGTACAATGAACAATTTAAGGAAGCATTTTATAGCTTTAATCTATTTATGGTCATTTATGATGTTTTCACTGTTTATTATTATTGCTTACTATGTATGTCACTGTAATAGATAATGTGTCATGTTTCTTTAGCTTTATTTATGTAAATCAAACCAATCAAACCATTATTGGCCGTAATTCATTGGGTTAAGTCCCTGTTTACGTCGATCTGCAATCGCAACTGTAGTGGCACTATAAAGTAATTCACTATGGTTGTTGAACGCACGCGCATTAGAATGCGAGTGATGACAATACAGAATACTAATGAGCGGACCCGACGGGGCGCTGCGTTAGATAGGATGACGTTAGTTGCATCGAATTAGTTCATTTTAAGTATTGAAAGAGTATTTTATGTGTTTCTTGAGGAACAATACTTTCTATAAAATAATAGTTAAATAGATAGTAATGCTGTTTTAGATACTTTGTTCTCCATACACATAGTTTACTTACATACATGAAAAAAGATATTTCCCTCTGTCTTGGGATAATAAATGAGCAAAATTCTGCGACTTGGTGCTTGAACTTGATGCATGCTGGGTCAATCAACGCGCAGTCGTTTCAAGAAAACTGGCCAACCAAAAAAATTACGATGACAAAAAGATAATCGTCTAAGTTTTACTGTACTAATGGTTGGAAATATACGAAAAACGCCTGAGAATGGCAAAATTATGAACGAGGACAGATAAAAATGCCTTTTGTTTTTGCTAAAATATTGTCCGTCACCCGTGGTGACGTTTATTTGCTTGTAAATAATATAACAAGGTTGTGATAACGCAGACACATAGAAAAGGAAGGAAATACATCTTGTTGACTCACCATCTTTTCTTTCTTGTTCTTTGTTTAATGTTCTTCTTTGTAAAATGTAACCGTTGGGACAGCTAAGTCCAGTGACCACGGCCCACTCGGTGGCCGCATTCCCACTCGGTGGACCGACATTCTGGTCAAGGTCGTGGGAAGCACAGGACCGGTCATGTTGAAACTTCTAGGGGGAGTTCTTTGTCAGTAGTGGTCGTGTTTTGGATGAAATGAACTAACACAATAAAATTATGTCACAAATCGCGTAAGGTAGCGAGACCTTAATCCATGGATGGGACCAGGGACGACTCGTGTAGATTATGAGCTTTTAAGCGCGTTGCAGAAAATAAAAACAACTGGATAAAGATACAATTTTTTCTAAGTTCGCTAATTTTATTAGGTCACTGGCCGCCGCGTTTTGTGCAACCTTGCCTTAAATGAACAATAGAAACTAACAATATACGATCCCCAAGAATATGTAGCACTTTCGTACTACTTATTGTCCTCTTTGGGTAGGTACTCGACCAGTAAACTACACCACACTGTTGCGTAGTAGTCGCCTTGATAATGACACCATGATTGTCGCGAGGGTCACCCACTGCGGTTACGTTTGCGGCCGACGTCCGTGACAAATTAAACTTTTGATTGGGCAACATTAAAAACAATTAAACGATTATCTCGAAGATGTAACATAGAAACATACGATTTTGATGTTGCTATCTGTACAGGTTTCTGTTTTGGTAATGTTACTTTTCAAACTTTTTAAACGCTTTTCATCAGCCTACCACAAACAAAATGTCTTGATTTCTCCTAATTTTTTTTTACGTTAGATAAGGCAGGTATTTGACCGCAATCACACCTGGTGTTAAGTGAGATGCAGTCTAGGATGGTACATATCTGCC